CGAATGTGACTGTTCTCGCCTCCGGCCGTTTCAAATATGATTAATTTGTGAAAAGCGGCCTCTTGTGAGCACGGGCAGTTGGACGCATCGGCTCTTGCTCCTTTTTTTGCGCAACCGAACGGCTCCGCTGATCCGCGAGCTGAGCTTCTGGTTCTCATAACGTAACTCGGGCCTCACTCGCCCATTCGCTCATTCGCAGTCGAAAGAAAGGGAAACGAAAGTCGGAGCGGAGTAATGCAAATGATCCATGATCACGACGCACGCCCTCAAGTCATTGTTTGTGCTTTTTTTCGTTAGTTTCATTTTTCCTTGCCGGTTGGTTTTCGCAAATGGGTGCTAGTGGATATCACGCACAGTCATCGTCTTCCCTGGCTTCACTCACACTACACACACACACACACACACACACACACACACACACACACACACTCATGCCACCTCGCCCACACATCCAGACACACGCACGGCCGACGCGCTGTAGCACTCCACTCCACGTACGCACGCTCACTGGCTCGAGGGGTACCATTAAACGCACGTCGTAAATAAAATGTTAATTAATCGATGCCTGATCGTCCTCCTAATAGTTTGATGGCAGGCTCTCCGGCCGTGCGGCCTCACGGTGTGGTGCCGGATCGACGACTCGGCGCGCTGTGCACTGTAATAACGGTCTGCGGTCCCTCCTTATTATTCCCGCGCCGCTCTCCGCTTTGTCTATTATCTCTCTCACTCTCCAACAACACACCGATTCCTGCCCCATTTCTTCTCCCCCCCCAGTTATTCAATTACCAGCTGACGTTTTCCCCAAAAAATTTTCCTCCGGAAAGGACTAAGTAGAGCGAGTGAGACAGAGACACCAGATTCATGGGCGGTTTTCGTTCAGATCGTTGCGGGCTTTCCCTCTCGCTTGCTCTCGGGCGCCCTTTTTCGCCCTCCATTTTCCATCCTTGTTCTTCTCCAGATGAGTCACTCCCTCGCGAGTCACAATCGGCGGACGTTGCTGCAGTCCGCGACCCGCGGCAGGCCGATTCCGAACAAGTCGCCCCGTCTCTCTCGCACTCGTGGGGCGTGCCGTCCGGTCCCGTCCGGTCCCGTCCGGTCCCGTCCGCTAGGATGTGAGAGACAGAGAGCGAAGATCCGCTGTTCGGAATCTCGCTCGGCACGACGAAGCCCAGCGTCGCCTGGCGGCGAGCCTGGCGGTCTTTGTTGTTGTTTTTTTTTCGCCGCTCGGCGCTGAGTACGTATTATTTGACTCATGTTTTAAAACGCCATTTGTCAAGATCGACCTCGCCTTTATTTGCGAAGTGTGCTCGGCTTGTCCGGAGCAATGTCGCGGCATCGCGAATCGTCCGCCTCCTTCACAGTGTAGTCGGGCGGCGCGGCGGCGCGGGCAAAACGTCCATAAAGCCTGGCGGAATGAAATCGACCTTCGCCTTCACGAAAAAAGGCGGGAAAAAATGGGAGCTTTTACTGCACAATGCTTTTGTGCGCCTTGTGTTGGCACTCACGTCGGCGCCGAAAAGGCGGAAAGGAAGCCGATGGGCCGTCGGGGCGTCAAGGCGTCAAGGCGCTGTTGCTGTTACAGCGTTACGGCATCGGGGGGCGAAAATGACGGGGCGCTCCAGTTCGCCTCGTTGTGTCTCTGTCTCGCCCATCGACGAGCCCGGTGCATTATAGCGCCTGATTGCCCCGGCCGCCCGAAAGAGGACCATTCTCACCTGCATTCTCACCGCGCGGCCGGCCGGGCCGGGCCAGGCGGCGAGGGGCGTTGCGCAAGGAGAGACAACCCCGCCCTGCACAGTGCACTCGCTTCCTTGGCAACCCGAGCACCGCGAACAAACAAACAGACAGACAGCAAGACAGGCAGACAGACATTGAAACATACAGTCGGCGGGGCGGCCAGACGATCCCTTGTTGTGCTCTCGAGCCGCTCGTGCGTCCAAGTCTCCATAACACGTGGATGAGTCGGTGGCCTCCAGACTCCCACCCGCAATCGGAGCACAGCCAGCCAGCCTGGGAGGAAGGGGAGACTCGTGGAGAACGGGGGGAAACCAACGGAGAAATTGAAACGGAGATCGAAAAAGAGTAGAAAATTCAGCCCAGCGGCAGGTGAGGAGGAAACAAAGGGAAATTCGGACGGGAAATGAGGAGAGGCGCACGAACTGATTAGAAATGTGCGCGGCTGGCTGGTGATCGACGGGCAGCGCCACTCGTCCGCTTCGCTTTCTTTTTTTATCATTCCCGCCGGTTTCACGACAGAGTGCAGCCCCGCCAAGCCCCGCCAAGCCCCGCCAAGTGGCGATGGCATGAGCCACGATTTCCGCGCTGGTTGTTCGCTCCACTGGATGCCCGCCGCGCCGCGCCTTGGCCGCGCCACCCACCGTGACGCTTTTCATCGTGTCAGCGGCCCAAAAAAATGGAAACCCAATAAACTTCTTTCTTCGCTTTTTTTCTTTCTCTCTCCCTCTTCGCACGCCGCTTTGTTTGTGAAATCCGAAGCGCGAGGAGGGCTTTAGTCCCGGGCGGATTAGGCCACCGCGTCGTGTGATGCAAACGTGGAAGAGAGTGCCCAGAAAATTGGGTTCCTAGAGTGCTCGAAATTGTCCATGCCACTCGGTATGAACGTCCTTCTTTCTTGGAGTCGGGCAGTTTGCAGCAAGCTTCTTTTTGTCTCCAGCAGAGTCCTTGTAGCGACGGGGCGAGGTTACCGTGGCTGCCATGGGCTGCCACGGGCCGGCCCGCACCGAGGGAGTGGCTGGGTTTACGCCGAGCCGATCCAGTCGGGTCTTTGTCCGCAGTCCCCTCGTCTCCCGGTCTCTGCAGCGCAAAGCCACGGCAAAGCCACGGCCAGGCCGAGCCGAGACGTCCCCAGATTGTTAATGCCCGTCGTAACATCGCGCCGCGCCGCACCAAAGCGTCTCCATGGCGACGGGGCGGCGGGGACGGCACCGAGTTCATGACTCACCGCCCACGCCATGCACGCCGCACGCCGTCGCTGCACGCTCCGGGCGTGGGCGACACCGCGGGCCGCGGCGGGGCGGGGCGGCGGCGTGCGCTTCGGCAAGGCTTCGGCAAGGCAATCCGCTGCATGCAGCGCTTGCAAGGTGCTTGCCCGTTTCATGCCCGCTGCTGGACAGCGAGCGCCTGCAGCGTCCCGGGGTAGGCCACCCGCTCCGGCCGCGAGCGCGGCGGGACTGCCTACCCCCGGCCCGTCGGGCGTCTGAGGCTATCCTGCCGACGTTTTAGCACCAACATCATTCATTGCCCTTCTTATTTACGTAGTAAAAATTTAAAAGCCGAAAAGGTTTACAACAACTTGCCAGAACGCACCCGTGGGGCGTCTCCTACAGGTGAGAGAGAGACAGAGCGACGTTTGAACGTGCGCCCGAGCGACGCCCACGGCACGGCGCGCGCTGCGGTTCGATTCCCGACAGAGTCTTCCTTCCCCCCGAAGGGCCGAAGGTTATTGAAGCGTCGAGGTTGTGACCCAGTGGCCCCGTCCCGCCCCGTCCTCCGTGCCGCGGTGCCGCGGTGCGGCGGGGAGACGCGGCCCTTCATCGGAGCGGGGCGTAAACCAGTAAACCAGTTCCCAGCGGCGGGAAGGGTCGCCGTACACAATTATTATCGATTTACATAGAGCGTGCTTCCTCGCTTCCTCCCGCTGCCCCGGTCGGTCCTCTGCCTCGCGCCTCTCTCACTCTCTCTCACGCGACCGACGCCTTGGCCGTCTAGCCGCGCGCCTTGTCCGGCGGTTCGATTCGGGGTGGGAACCTCATTATGATTGCCTTCGAGTTCGAAACTGTGCCGCACCGCGCCCCGCCGCCCCGCCGTCCCGCCCTGCACTACCGCACCGTTACGCCGTGCCTACACTGCCGAACGAGTCGCCACTTTTTCCCCGCTTCCCCTCGATGTAGGAAAAAAGTGGTTGTCCTGTTTGATGGGAGTCGGTCTGCCGTTAAGAGTGCGAATGTCACTGCCAGGCCGCCACAGGCCGCCACACACAATGGTAGGGCCGTGCGTGCCGGGTTCCCTGCTGGCGCCGCCCTGGGCCCCCCTGCCCCGCCCGCTCCGCCATGCCCCGCCCTGCCGCACAACGGCGGACCTGCCGCGCCTCTCCCACGACATAGGCGGCTGTGTCGCCGTCGAGACGTGTCCGCCAGACCGGCCAGACGCACCCGGCGGGGCGCGGAAGCGCGCGGAAGCAGCTTCCTCCTCGTTCCACTTGTCGGAGTGCGTGGCCGCGTGGCCGCGTGGCCGCGCGGGCAGGCCGAGCGGAGGTGCAAAGGGCAGCCCGTCAAGCACACCACCGCCAGCACGGCCTGCAGGGCCTCCGCCAGGACGGCGCCCGAGACACGTTGTGTAACGAAACGCGTGGAAAGGGGAGACCGCGGCCCCTGGCGGTGCCCTGGCGGTGCGCTGGCCGTGCCCAACAAGTGCACAATGAGCAGCAGACACCTCCCCGCGCTGCGCCGCGCTGCGCCGCGCCTTCCAAGTCGTGCACCGCGGATCACTGCCGGGGCCTAAAGTTTACTTGGGCAAGGTCTTGGGTAATCCTGTCCCCTTGCGAAGAGGTTTTTCTCGCTTTGTTTTCGCGGGCATGGCGTTTTTTATTCGTCCTAATGGATTTTTTTCCCTGCCAAAAGGATTTTAATGGCAAAGGCATCACTGCTCTAGGTGATCTCGGGTGATATTACCGAGCGAGGACGCCGGGGCACTTCTCGACTTCGGGGGGTCCAAGGCTGGCACGCCTTGCGGGATGACGGAGAGTAACACGCTGTCCCGCTGGGTTGGGTTGGGTTGGCCGGGCTTCCAGCCGCAGCACTTTCGTTTTCATGCATTCATTTGGGGCCAGAACGAATGAGTGCATCAATGTGCACGGTCAGCCGTGATATCGAATCTGTCGAAAGAAAGAGTAAAAACAACTTGAAAAACCTGCGTGACCGAACGCCAAACTCACGGAACGGAATGGACTAACAACCGTGGCGCGTCTTGCCTGATTGCAGATTAGAAAATGGCGCGCAGCGCGACCTCGTCCGACCGCAGCATCCCTCACCTGAGGGACATCTTCTGGAGCGGGTCCTCGTCGTCCCACGCCGCCGCCAGCGCGCCGCGCGCCGCGCCCTGGCATGGCGGGCACGCCTCGCACGGCTCCAGAAGGCAGGACGAGCTGGCCGTCAACGAGCTGGCCTACCAGTTCCAGAACGACGCCAGGGTGACCGGCAGCAGGCCCAGTAAAGGTGAGACACTGCGAAAAAAATAAAATAAAACAAAGTTGTTTTGAAACTGAGCGTTACTCTGGTCGTTTCAGGTGCCGGCAAGGAGCACTTCTGGTCCAAGCAGGCCGCACCGCAGGGCCAGCGCTCCGACCATGCCGTCGACCAGGGCAACGACAGCGCCATCTCGGTGGGCTCCACATCGGAGGACGAGCACCAGGCCGCGCCGCAGAACAAGAAGAAGAGCAAGAAGTCGCGCGCCCGCGACAACGCGCGGACCCTCACGGAGCGCGACGTCAAGCACCTCGAGCGGCACCTGTCCATGAAGAAGACGATCCGCAAGAAGATCATGCGTGACCTGCAGCAGGCCTTCGTCGAGGACCCCACTGAGTTCCGCGTCGAGGACATCAACAGCCACGAGCAGCTCATCCAGAGCCTGAGCTTCGGGACGCCGTCGCGGCACGCCACTCGCGGCCACCACGCCGAGTCCAACTTCCTGGACATGCTGCGCGCCAACGGCGGCACGACCAGCACGCCCTCCTGCGCGGCGGCGCGCCAGGCCGGTTACGACGACCAGGACTCTGGCCACGGGTCGCCGCGTGGCTCGCCCACCCGCGAGCTGTCCTCGGACAGAGGCATGACGCCGCCGTCCGCGCAGCAGCAGCACCACCAGCAGCAGCAGCACCAGCAACACCAGCAGCACCACCACCAGCAACAGCAGCTGGACGACTACGAGGACGGCGCGGCCGACGGCGACGCGTCCGGCAAGAAGACCAGCTTCTGGCGCCGGTTCACCATGAAGAACAAGAACAAGCGATGAGCGCGGCCCCACCGCGCGCATCACAACTTTGCGTGTCAATGGGCAGGTAGTCGGTTAGAGCTGCTCCACGCTTTTAATTTTTATTTGTTAAATGAGCAATTGTGTTTAGTTATAAGTTTAGAGAGCTTATTTTAATGTGACGAACTTTCACATTGCTGGTGAAATTAAATCCTTGACTGATACTTTCTGTATCCAAGCATTGAAGAGGGGAGGTAATTGTCCCGTAAGTTTTAAGTTCTCCCACTAACGCACTTATGTTCTCGACGACGGGCGTCGTTCCTACACTACCGCGCCGACGAAACTTTCCTCTGAAGAGAGAGTTCGATTTTCTAATACTCATGTTGACACTACTTTTCTATTATTTCGAGATGCTGTCGAATGGATCGCCTGCGCCTGCGTTCGGAGGGCTGGCAACCCATCCAGCACGATCGACTCTAGAGCAATCAGAGGAATAAATGAAAGTCTGAAATAAAGGGATCCTTACTGCATAGAAATACCTATAGTGTCGAGTTTTCAGTTTGCTGTCCTGTGTACAACGAAGCTGTACTTTAACAAAGAAAGAAAAAAAATGATTCACTTGAGTTTGTAGCTGATACCACCGTTTGTGGCAAGCTGTGAAAAAAATAGTTAAACTCAACATGATTGTGATACTTTAACTTAATAGATTGATACTGAAAAAATACAAAACAAAAAGAAACAAGAAAAAAAAACACAGGTCAGCGTCTTAGAATGTTGAAGTAGCTTTTAAGATTTCTAATGAACACTTCAAATACAGCATAGGGTATTTTTGTTTGTCATGTTAAGTTCATATAGCTAATAATTTTTATAAAAATATTCACTATATGTTGTATTTTTATTGAACGTTGGATGTATGAATTTCATTAGTCTCCCTTGGAAAATTAAATTCTGATTTTTAAGACACATCCAGAACAGTGGGACGGTGCGGAAGGGAATGTCAGAGTAACAGAAACAATGGAGGAAAATAAATTTGATATTAGTAATTGATGAACTTGTTCCTTCTTCACAGCTCCCATCCTTTTTCCCGCCACAAATCCCGCAGTGCGCCACTCGTGCAAAAGACAAGTCGCTTCGTTTGCCTGACCTACTTCAATGAAAGCCCAAACCTTCCCTAGAGCAAATTCCGAGCAGGGGTATTCACACTTCCTATTGGTGGAGCTACTCCCCGACAGGCGCGGGGTATCTCCTCTCGTCGAGAAGAGGCGCCAGTGATAACAAACCACACCAACAGTGAGATTTCCTGGTTGGGCATTAGGATTCCTTCAAACTTATCAAAAATAACAACGGTTACCTTGATTTTGTTACAACAATATATTTTACAAAGATGTAAAAATCATAAAATCACAAATGTGTCTTGGAGCAACAGTAAATGTTAAAGTGCCAAATAAAATACTGAAATGTCAGGTTTAAAAAATAAATCATTTCAGATGCAATGGAGCTTAATTATGATAGACAATCAGCTTCAGAGAAAAATTATAACAAAGGCAGAGTAGTTGCATTACACAAACAAGTACTTATGTAAAAAGTACAAATGCAAACCTGCATTGTGTTGTGCTTTGCTCCTGGATAGGAATGTATACCTAAGTTCACATACTTAAGTTTATAAAAATACTTATCTCAGAAATTTACAAATAATGTAAGTTCAACTATAATAAATTATTTCTTACTCTTTAGTTAAAAAATATGAATGAACTGTACAAGATAACACTTAAATTGATGATTACATTTGTAGTTATAATCTCTTAGGAACATTGAGATACATTTCTTGAGACATTCCATATGAACCCTAAGAGTGATTCAGCAACCATCAACACATCACAAAGAAAGAAGACTTCCTGATTAACATGCCATAACTACGATTGTTATCAAGAATCTTGGTTTCTGGGAGGTCGTACATCACTGTTGCGCTTTATACAGTCAACTAGCCACCTGATTCCTTCATCCACACCTTCCCTAGAAGAAAGAGCATGTATTGCATTAGTATAAGGGCAAGAAAATAATATTAGGCATTACTCTGAAAAATACTAATATGGCATACCCAGTTAATGCCGAAATAGGCATGACCATGCAGTCTCTTCTTCCAATAAGATGTGCATTCTCATTAAAAATGGGCTTCACCTCCCGCACACCCATGCAATCTGTGATATCTTGTTTATTCGCCAATACAAGGAGAGGAACACCTTGAAGAGTCTGACTGCTAATCATTTTATCTGAATAGAGAAGGAAAACAGATAAATTTAATGTTTTTCAGGCATGGGGTTCCTAAATTTATTAAATTATTTGTTTCAAAGTATGATGTAATACAATGAGATTAGTTTTTGATTACCAAATGTTTCTTTGGATTCAGCAATCCTGTCTCGATCAGATGAGTCTACTATGTATATGACAGCATGTGATTCAGCATAATACTGTAAACAAAAGCCCAATAACAGAGTCAAAATACAGCAGAGAGAAGCGGATTAATTCCATCCATATGGCATTGAATTTTCATGAGAGTGTCATAATGTGTGGTCACACCAAAACACCGAACCGAAGCATAATACACATACCTTGTCCCAAAGTGACTGAAGTTCTTGCTGCCCTCCAAGATCCCAAAAGTTTAATGCAATGCCTCCAACAACGACTCGTCCAATGTTCAGACCAACAGTGCTGGTGATTTTACTCGGATTCATACCACGATATTGACGCAAAAGCTGTGTCTTCGCTGCTTCCAGATATGTCTAAAAAAACACACAAGCAATAAAAAAGCATGAAAATGACATCATCTGACTTACCAATTCAACAAATAAGATATGTAATCTATAACAAGCCTTACTGTTTTTCCTGCATTGTCCAGGCCTAGAATCAATACACAATAATCGTCTTTTTGCACCAAGTATTTGTAAAGTCCATGGAATAACGTGTACATATTGACACAAGAAGTAAAACCAAAATATAAATATCACATATCAAATCATAACCTCCACGTAATAAATAACACTTCAACAATTTCTCATATACTTTCCCTTTTAAGCACAGAGAAGTTTCTCATACAAAAGTCCTTTGTTTACACTCGTTTGTCTTCTGCTTTTTGTTGTTGTTGTGGCTGTAGGCTGCTAATCACTGATTATGATATGCTAATCACTGATTATGATATCCTTGAAAGGCGTTTTTCACGAGATGTTCCCTTTGCCGTTACCGGCGATAAATCCTTAGAAGCACAGCGAGGTTTTTCTGAAAATATAACCTGCTAGTGCTCACTGAGAAGGTAGTTTCTCGCGAAATTATTTCCTGGTGTGGTTATGTTTCGTTATGCAACCTGTCAAAAGGTGTTGACATTCTTCATTTCAGCCATTAACATGGATGATAAGGAACCTGACAGGGTCCAAATAAATGATGATTGGTTTGCAGTTTGCAAGCAAATGTTCAGAAATCTATCATCGGTTGAAAAATCTTCAGTGATCCTCACCCTTATAGATATGTGTGATACTACGGCTCGATTCAATCTTTTAAAGTCCTGCAATAAAGCTTTACATTGTGATATTTTAGCATCAATGCCTCAAATAGCGCTAGATAAAATTCTTGGCATGCTGGCTGTGTCAGATATTTTGAATGCCTGCAAAGTTAGCCCACAATGGAACAAGTGAGTATCAATACAGTTAAGCATGTTAGTACAATTTGAACAATAGTTATTGTAATGTAAATAATTAGTTTGGACTTCATTATTTCAGATGTATCTCCAATTCCACATTTGTTTGGAAAAATAAATGGATTGAGCTTGGCATTGGCAGCTGCAGGGATCAGAAAGAGTTCAACAAACGAGACTGGAAAGAAGACTGTGTCACAGCGGAAGGGCTTTACTCAAAGATTGCAGGGAGAAAAGTTCTTGAATACGATTTGGACCTGTTTAACGATTTAGATTTATCTAATAATTCACACGGTTATATATCTGCTATGGATTATTGTAATGGCAATCTAGTCATATGTCACAGTGAGCGTAAATCAACTTTAGTTGTAATTATGACTGAGGTGTGTTTTATTCCACCTCACAATACCAAATTTTTTTTTTTTTTTGTTTTTTTTCTTGTGCAGGTGCAGGTGACGAGGGTGGATCAGTGTTCACTCAGAAAGGGCTTGACTGGAATTACCTGTGCTCATTTCCTGTTAATGAGCATGGGTACCCTTCCAGTGTACTTCTGCTACCCTCAAACTTATTAGTAGTGGGGAATAGCAATGGAAAAATTACCATTTGGCGTCTTTTAAATATCAGACCTGGGTGTTGTAAGCATGAGGTAATTTTAAATATTTATTTTGTCAAGGTCAGAATTTGTGTGGTCAATGGTTTTTATTTTTACTCTTTTGTCAGGTCAAGTTGTTACATGCCTGTCATGGCCACACGAGCATTGTTTTAAGTGTTGATGCATGTGAAGAAATAGGTGTAGCTGTGTCTGGATCAAGGGACGCTCGCATGAAGGTTTGGAGCCTCATGAGTGGCAACTGCCTTAAAACATTTGATTATTCCTCACCAGTACTTCAAGTTTGTTCCATTTTCTATCTTATTATTACATTTCTTTTTCTGCAAGCTGTTTTAGAAACATATTTTAAATAATAATTTGTGTTACATTTGTCTCTTGGAAAGGTTTCTTTTTACTGTGGGTCCAAATCTTTATTGAAAGACTACAACTTTCTCTTGGTGCATAGCTCAGAGAAAATATTTTTGCAATCCTGGAAAAATTACACTAATTGGCTTCAAAAAAGTGTGCTTGAACAATGTATAGTGACAGATGCAAACATTTTGCCTGGAGTCCACGTAAGTAATCAATCAGAAACTTAAACCAAATACAAGCCGCAAAAGTTTACAGAAAAATTTACACCTCCTGTCATTTTTTTTATTTCTAGATAAAAAATGAAACACTATTCTATTGCTCTGTTACCATGCCAGACGGTCAGGAACGTACTGATTTCAACATCAAACGTCTTAACATGCCAGCCATTGTGGGCAAAAGTGGTGATTCTCTCTGCACCCATCTCAAAGTGTTTAGTTTTCAAGGCATATTTAGAAAGTTAATGCAAGTTGGAGCTGTCTTTGGATTATTAATATCAGACGAAAACATTATGGCAATAGATATAAGAAGAGGAAGCGTGCTCTTTAAGGAGTATGTTCCTCATTCTGTGTAAGTTATTTTAAATTGTTTTAATTTTGACTGAGTTGATAAATTATCATCATTAATTTTTATGGATTGTGCTCTTGCTTACAGTGCAACAAGCCTGACATTGCCTCAAGTGACCGTCGGTGCTGGAAAGTGGCTTGATGGTCTTCTTTATGTTAAACGGTATGGAATGCTTTTAGCTATTGCTATCTATGGGAAAAACCTCACTCTAATATCATGGGCACCGTCCATACCCGAATTTCCCTCTAAAGAAGATTGATTTTGGAGAGCAATACATGCCACACCTATTCTAGATTCCTTTCCTCATACGTATCTTTATTAAAATGAGAAAACACAAGAAAAGTTATTCAAATGTCTGTCTTTCTCTCTTCCAGTTTAGTTTATTAACTTCCTTGATCCCTCTAGCGGGACACTAAATATAAGTTCACGATACAACTGAGTTAATTTTTGAGTAAATGTATTGACTGTCAAAACATAAATTTTGTGCTTCACTGAATGCGGCCAAGTTACCATTTACAGTATTCAAGTATAGAGCAAATAAGCAATAAATAGAATTAGCTATTCCTAATGTGCTTCCTCATGAAAATTCCTGGAACTTTTATATGAATTATGAGTCCACATCCATTTATTTGTCTTCCCTCTCTTTTCTGCAACACTTTGAATCACCAGGCCTGCATTTATTTTCGAAATACATAAAAGGGGATGTCGCATTATTGCATGAATTTTTATTTCTTCCCCTTTGAATCACAAGCTATAGAATTGAACGGAAATAAAACTGCACTTCATGAGCGTGTGCAATGTGCAGTGCCAGTGCGGACTCTGGACGCCGGCCATTGGACTCACCACACTGAAGGAGGGTTCCTAGCAGATGCACGAAACGGGCGGGCCTGCGCGTCCGTTTCGGTGACCACAAATTTTCTTAAATACCGTGTCCGCGGGCCCGGTAAGAACCTGCCAGTTCGGGACGCAGAGCGGATGCTCCGACGGTAGCCGAAGCGACTTCGTCTCGTGCCCCAATCAGCCAGCGGGTGCTTCGAACACCTCTCCCCTCGCCTGCCGCGGCGGCTGCCGTTGGTTGTGGCTTTGCCTCGACTCGACCGGCGAACGCGTCCGTCTGTCGTCGTTTGACGCATCGGATCGCCGGCCCAGTGTGTCTACCTACCTCACCTCACTCCACTTTTCTAAACGGGCGCGCAGGTCCGCCCGTTTCATGCCTCAGGTACCTAGGTGGGGTGGGTGGAGGCAGGGAGCAGGGACTGGAGAGAGAGACTCCTATCCGCAAGATTGTGGACCGCGCCGCCATCGTGCCGTGGTGGTGGTGAGCCTGGCCGGCCGGCCGAGGTCGACGGAGACAAACGGTAGGATTATACTTGTTGCTGCCGACATTATCCGGGCGACTCGCCACTCGCCTCGGGGAGAAGGGGGAGGGGGAGATTGTAATGGAACCTGTCTGTTATCTGCTATCGGCCCCACTTGGGTGTGCCCTTTGAATGTGTGGCTCGCGTGGAGATGAGAGAGAGAGCCCCCACCCCTAACGCCCTACCGCCCTACCGGCCCGTCCGCCACTCCCCTCACTTCTGGTCCAGGCTCCGTCCAGGCCTTCCCGTGGTCCTATGTACACTTCGTGTCCAGACTAGGACCTCGGTCCGGTCTGTACAGTTGAGCGCACAATCCAGCCGGCCCCCTCCCTTCCCCCTCTCCCTCCCCCTCCTTTTCCTGGTGCGCGTAGAATTCCTCCTTTGTTGATTGACGAGCTGATCAACCTTTGGCCCGACGACGCTGACGTGCTGGCCGCGCTGGCAGTGGTGGATGATGGCGCAAATTATCTCGTCACTCGTTCCCTCGTTCGGCCCTAACCAGGGGCAAGAAAGAGAGCAACAACGTAAAAGAAAAACAAAACACAGACGCCTTGACTTTCCCGCCCGAATGAGCGAAAACACGCGTCCCTTTCCCTAGGACTCAACGCTAGCGGCGATATCGCCATCGATTTTGCATCAGGGCCGTGGCCATCGCGGCATCGCGGCCGTGCCCATCGCGGCCGAGCAGCAGGCCGATTCCGAACAGAGCTTTCGTCGTTCTGTCTCTCTCTCACCCCTGCGGTACGGCCCATGAGTGCGAGAGAGACAGGACGACGAAAGCACTGCGAATCGCTCTGGAGCTCAGGCCCGCCGCCCTGTCACGCGGCGTTTTGTTGTCGTTATGAACAACGCCAGGCAGAGCCAAATCAGCCAAATAGGGGCCTTTAGGACTGAAAAATAGGCCGGCCGGCCGCCCAATTTCTCATAGCGCGTTGCCTGCCATTGCCTCATCAGCGAACTGATTCCGAAGAGAGGTTTCGCCACCTTGTTTCTCTCGCACTTTAATGGGACGCCCCGTGTTGGTGTGAGAGAGGCAGAGCAAGGAAAGCACTGTTCGGAATCAGCCTGCAGCACCATTAGCTCGCGGGCCGCGCCTCGCTCTTGGCCTCGCTGCTGCAGTCGCGGTGTGGCGGTTTCCCGCAGTGCGAGGTGAAGGCAAAGGCTCCCCTCTCCGCTGGTGGCAGCACTGATGCCCTAAGTCGCTTTGATTGTTACATTGTCACCGCCCGCCGTGGCCGCCATGGCAGGCTAGGCCCGGCTTGGCCCGGCTAGGCCGTTGGCTCACGACTTGTCGTCATGTGATTTCCCCTCCCTCAATCTAGCCCCTCCCCGCCCCCACCCCCACCCCGACATGGACGTGGGAACAATCATGGTGCGGCCGGGGTCCCAGCCCGCACCGCCCGCGGCGCCGCCCATCGCGGAGGCAAACAAAGTAAGCAGACCGACACATGTTGACACTTGTTTTCTCCGCGAGAATTTAGTTTCCATGCTGATCGCGTGGCAGCGCCAGCATCGCCAGCGCCACTGCCTGCCGGCCCGGTACACTAGGAAAGTAACACTGTCAAGGGGCCGTGTGGTGGGGGTTGCAGCTGGGGCTGCTGCTGCTACTGTCGTGGTCGCTGCTTGGCGCGCTCCTCGTGCCCGCCGTCGTCCTCAGCATGCTGTACCTGCGCAGCCGAATCTGGGCGGCCCTGGCAGCGGCCAGAGCGCGCCCCGTCGTCATCTGGTTCGTAAGGAGGCTTGCAGGGCGGGCGAGTGGCGGCTGGACGCGACGCGCTCCTATCTGTCAGCCAGGCGCCTGTGAAGTCGAGGGTAGGCAGTGCCGCCGCGCACCGCAGCGAGGCGGGCTTGCCTACCTCGCAGGCGCCGTAGCTGTCGCTGTTTGCATCCCTGCTGCACTCCTTTGCGTGCGTCAGGGCAGCCTAGGACAGCCCGCCCCGGAAGCAGGCCGCGGAGGCCGAGGCCAAGCTGAGACGGTGTCTTAATCCAGGTTGGGCGTGGACCCCGAGGGCGATTCCGGCCCGGGGGAGCTGGGCCCGTCAAGCTACTTCCTGCGGACGGGGAACCGGGCGAGGCCCGCCCCGCCCGCCCCCACCCCCACCCCCGCCCGCGGCCAGCTGGCTCAGCGGGCGTCCGCGCCGCAGCACCCCGTCAACGGCCTGCTCAGGGAGCTGGGGCTGGAGGCGGGGGAGGAGGACGACAAGGCCGAGGCCGCCGAGGCCAAGACGGGGGCGGGGTGGCGGCGCCGGCCCTGGAACACGGACAGCGTCACCAGAACGGCGTCCGTCGGCCGGAGGCCCCGCCGCTCCATCTAGGGCGAGGCGGGGCGGGGCGGGCCGATCTTCGGTAAGAGGATAAAGAGAATGCTGTCGTCTGCCCCGCCACGGCGGCACGGCCGACGCGGGCCTTCGTCGCCGCGCAACAACTTAGCTTTATTTGCCCGCCAGGACGAACGACCCTCCAATAAAGCACCGAGAGCCGCCCGTTCGACTCAAGGACCCTCAGCCTGTGCCTTCTGCACCTGCAGCTCGCCTAGCACCCCGCCACTGCGCTGCAGCCCTCCAGCGAGACGGTTAACCGCCGCTCTCGGCTGCTCTCCGCCACCCTCCGCGCTCGCGGGAAGCTTCTTGGAGAAAGAGGGGTGCGCTCGACTCCTAATTACAGACACAGTGCGCTCCCCCTCCCTCTCCCCCTCCCCCTTTTCCAGCGCCGCCACGCCCCGCCGCGTTTCACGTTCGCTCCGACAACTGCTTGGGCGCACGTCGAAGATTTCCTTAATTCGCTTTGTTTCTACTCGGCAAGTCCCCCCCCCCTTCCCCTCTCTCCCTCCTGCGGGCCGCAGTGGAAGGCCGTGCGGGGCAGCGGAGCCGTCTTTTTTCCTGGTGGGGAAGCAGTGACAACGCCCCGGAAAAACCTACGGAGTGCCAAGTCTCTCCGAATTAGTTCTCGCCTCGCCAACGCCCTGTTTCGGCAGCGATCTAAATCCATTCCGCGACCGATTGGCAATGATTGTGAGGGTTGTCGCGCGGAGGTCCAAGTCCGAGCAGCCCGACTTGCCCGACACACTGTGGCGTCCAACGCACCGCGCGCTTCGGAGCGCTTGGCATGTCTGTCACGGCCGCTACCCAGCCCTGCCCGAGCGCTTAGCCCACCCCGTGTACCCCTTGCACCCTCAACACAGAGAGACGCTCCAATCTATCAACTGACTCCCGCTGTTCCCTCAAAGTGGAGTCGCTGCGTCTTGGCAGCGCCCGGCTCGTCCGCTGGCCGCCTGCGCCCCGTGCTCCGTCGGACCGCTGCCGCTGGCCCGCTGGCCCGTCGGGGAGGGGGCTTTGGAGTTTATGGCATGTTTGGACCCCAATCATTGGTTCGGTATAGTCGGCTCCCTCCTCTGGAAGCCAACCCGCTTTGCCGGTCGGTCGAGTAAGCAAACAGCGACGCCAACCGCCGCGGCCACGCAACGCGCAACATTGTGGCGGCGCCATCACTCAAATGTTTTCTGGGAGACAGAGAATAAAAGACTCGCACGGCCGAAAAAAATTAAGCAAGAGACCAAGCGGTTTCAAACCAAAAATAAGCTCTGAAAGTATAGAAAGGATCTGCTCGACAAGCACGCAGAAAATCAATGCTTCGTAGGAGGGTGGTAAATAACTGTAAGAACAACCATCACAGCGCTTTTCAAAGCCGTCGGTGATGTTCTCGGGTCTAAAAACGCTTTAAAAAAACGGCGGCAGGCCGCGTGGCGTGGCATGGCGCTGTGTACACGCGGTGTAGTGTCTCTGTGCTTTGCGGTCAGAAAAAAAGAAGCAACGGAGACGGCGCGCCGAGCGCTCATCAAAGGCAACCGTGAGAAGGGGAGGGGGACTTCCAGGCAATCCGGCAGACATCGGCCGATTGATTAGCCACGAGACTCTTCCATATTGCCGTCCTTTGCAGCTCGGTTTATTGTGCGCGCGATTCGCAATTCAAAAGGACCCCCCACTACTGCCTGCCACCACCTCCACTTCCACCACCTTCTCCCCACTCTTTCGTCTCCATAACCGCAGCCCCTACGGCTCGTGCCGTGCCGTGCCGTGCCGGGCCACGCCTGACGACGGAACACTGTTGCATCGGCCGCGTCGGCACTCTCGGACAGCGTAAGCGTTGTCGTATTTTTCGCAGAGTGTTTCGGTCAAGGGTCGGGCAAAGCGCGACGGACTTTGACAGTTCTAATACCGCCATCCCAACATTGAGACTCTGTTTTTCGGCTGTTTTCAGATTCGTGGCGCCAAGGTTTCCCCCAGAATTATGAGCATATTTCCAAGTGAATACGTTACTGGCTGATTGACGGGAGGCCCACGAAATGACCACCTGCCTGCAGGGTGCTCGGTGCTCGCTCACTGGCGACGCGGCCTGTGTGGCTACACTCTTAGTCGAAAGGCGTGAATTTTCTCTCCATTTCGCTGGTAATGGTGGTGACGCCCTTCAAGAACTGTTTGAACCGCATCTGGAGAGATTTGACCGACTCCATGTGTACAGTCATAATAGATTTGGAGCGTAGAAACGATGACGTCACATTTTCCTCTCCCTCCTTTCTCGCGCGAGTGCCTCCCCCACCCCTTGTAAAATTGGAGAGGGTGGGGGTGTTGCCTTGACTTAGGCGGCACGCTAAAATGGTCGCAGGATAATGGCAGTGAAAACGCACGGGGCGACGGGAATAACTCGTCAGGCCACGCTGCCACGGCCACCGCAGCCACCACGACGCCGTGCCTAAGGCCCAGGGTAAAGGGCCAAGGTATGGCCTACTCTACCTCTGTCCGCCCTTGGCTTTCAAGACCTCTCCGATCGCGTCCTATCTTCGGTGCGATGTGCGATGAGGGTTCGGTGCGGCGTCGCCCTAGCCTTCGGGTCGCTTGAACAGCGCCGGCGGTGGGGGCGTTTTGCGGCCTGGCGACGGAGGCCGGCGGGACCGAGGCGGGACGCTCCCTTCGCGCGGCTGTCTCTACTGCATTTGGCACTCCACGTCGAGGACCTCCACTGGGGCCCTCATGGCCTGTTGCACCAGGGCGAGGTGGCGCAGCGCGGCGTGTGGGGCGGCCGCCGCGCCTCACCACGCCCCGCCACGCCGCCGTCGCCGCGCCCCACAGAGACTTGGTGGCGCCCTCGGCCTGCTCCGGCTGCTCTGGGGGGCCCGGGCGCCCGGCCCAGTCAACAGCGCGCAGTCCCGGCGATCAGTCCTACGGGCCGGCAGCCCGGCAGCCAGCCTCCCAGCGTAGTGGCGCGGCAGCGGCGCACGGCCAGCACGGCCTGCACGGGGTGCATGGCGGTTCGCGGCCCCGCGACGCCCTGAGGCGCCCCGTCGCCCTCCACCCTGCAGCACCTCGCCTGTGCCGACTGCCTCGTGGCGTGCCTGGCCGCGCCGGGCCGCGCCCCGCCTGTCAAGCTCGGTGAAGCTCACGCCGCGCAGCCCTGGCCTGCCCCGTGCCGCCCAAGGTGCCGCCACAGTGCCCAGGGCCTTGTCCTTGTCGGCAGCGTCGGCAGCGCACCCACTGCCAGTGCACCCGCTGCCCAGGGCCCCAGCACCGCGGCCCCGCCGACCCCCGTGAGTACACCGGAGACCACAATGCTCACAGCAATGCTCGGCGCCAGTGCGTCGTCATCGTGCTTAAAATCAGGGGATGGCACTTAAAACGTATGTTCAACGGCTGAATGGATGAGTGGAAAAACGAATTAAGGGATGAATACACCACCGATTCCACGGACGCACCATAAACGCAGAAAATATGAATGTCTGCAACACAAGCAAAGCCGTCATGAGATCATTCTGGTCGGAAAGAAATCATGTTGTTAAAACCTTCGCTTTTAATTGTGACTTCTCGCGGTAGGTAATTTGACGTAATGTTCTCTGATGTTCCATGGACGAAATACTCGAGCGACCTTTGCACGTGATAGCCAAGCCCCCGAAAACGAGGCTCCAAAGGTCTTGAACTTTGATAAGTACGGTCCACGGCCGGGCTGTGCCGCACATTTACCAACTCTTCCCTCGAAAGCAAACAACTAAAAACAGCAAATCCTTGAGTTGTCGTGGCAGCGCAGGGTCCCGTCCAGCACAGAGCAACTGTAGCGGAGGAGGGAGGAGTGCTTATCAAACCGAACAAGGCGGGGCGGTCGTAGTAGCGTAGCACGACGAAAAAATGATACTCCCAAGTAGTTGATCCAAGTTGATTAGTTTCATTTTTTTTTCAACTTTTATGTGCAGCAAAATTGTGAGGTGAATGTCATAAAACCAAATGAAACACCCTCTTTTTTTTCTTGAAAATATCATAATATAGAACGGATTCAATTAAGAATTTTTTTTTCTCACTTATTGAAACATTAAATGCTGGATAACATGAACCAGTCTTTTGCCCAGAGGTACACGTGCGTTAGGCGTTCGCCTAGTTTCCGGACGGCCCCCTCTAATGCCATACAGTGGCGTGGCATGCGAAGCGCAAACAGCTTGTAATAATGAGCTTTGAGACTTATTTTTACGGTGATGACGCGTGGGGACGGCCTTGCTCCCTTGTCCTGCTCTCGCCACGCCACTCGGCATGCCACTCGGCATGGCAAGCCGGACGTGGAGATCTGCCTGCAGTCTGGGGGCGTTTCGCCACTTCGGCGCGCCGCGACGGAAGAGGGACCTGGGCAACGACACGGTCGTCTCCACCGGCAACGCGGCAACGCGGCCACGCCAACAACAGCAACGCGGGGCGGTCACGTGTGCGTAATTCGTTACGTCGTGTCAACGCGAGTAGACAGGGCAGGGCGGCAGGGCGGCAGGGCGGCCTTGGAAGACCGCACCGCGTCGCACCGCCAAAACGTGGCGGCGGGGCGGAAGGAAGGACTTAATAAAAGCCTCACTTAATGCTTTTTTTTTCAAATCTTTTTGGGAAGACTAGGGAAGCTTGCAAAGGCTGACGAGCAGGTCAAGGTCAAATGGGTTACCGTGGTTGCCTGGAAGGCAGCGACTTAATGCAAACCGTGCACTCGCTAGATGTTCTTGAACAATTGAAGTCTGACTCAGTGTCACAAATCCGTGTTTTCCTGTGAAAATTTTCACATTTGTTCAAAAATGTACAAATGAGTGACTAGGTTTTTTTTTCTCGCGCTGCAGTAAACAATTAGGATCTTCCTCGCGCGGCTGAAACCATAATTAGATTCTTCCTCGCGCCTCGTCGAAGATGTGCGACAACAGCATCCGTTTCCAACTGTTTGCACGGTGGGGGATGGCGCCCCGCAGTCCGACGCGTCCGCGGGCGGCACCGAGGCAGGCGGCCAGGCCAGGCGGGCACAGGGCCGCCGGCCAGCCCGCTCCGCGCCGGCAGAATTAGAATCGAAAACCGAAATGAAATCACCTGGCAACATGTTGGCGAACCCTCTGCTAATTCGATTAGAGGGAAGAATCGGGAGGGGGAGGGGGGAGTGACTCCGGGAGGAAAAAAGTAGAGGTGGGGGAAAGGGCGGCTGCCAAGGGCAGCCAGGGCTGCGGGCTGTTTCATTCAACGTGTGGACTAGGACCAGCCAGCCCGCACACACGCCAAAATGAGATTCCTCGATACTGCGCTGGCGGGGGCGCATGCACCGCACTGGGCTGAAAATTCAGTTGACACTGCCTTTGTCGAGGCGTGCGAGGCAGTGATCCAGCCAAACGGTTTGATAAAGTGCTCTCTTTTGGCGGGCCGCGAGGCAGTACCCTCGCAGAGCCTCGGCCCGGTGCACCGCGGCGACGACTCTACTCGGGACGACTTCCCGGAGGCATTCTCTGAGGCCTCCGAATAAATGGTTCGGTGATAATGAGCTTGGATGGCGTTATCTCGAAACAAGGCCGCCAAGTGGAAAGGCCGACGGAGCGAGGCACCGCCAGGCACCGCCACGCACCGCGAGGCACCGCCGAGGCACCGCCAAGCACTGCCAGGCACCGCCAAGCAAGGTGCAAGGTGTGTGCGACTCACTGCCGCCTCAAAGGAGTAACAACGATCAGCAAGGTCGTTGGTAAAGGAGATGCTGTTGCCGCCAACTCTCACGCATGCAACAAAAAGCTTTATGAATGAATGAATGAATGAATGAATGAATGAATGAATGAATGAATGAATGAATGAATGAATGAATGAATGAATGAATGAATGAATGAATGCCGTCAGTTGCGGCGTAGGTTCCTTGAGGTCCTGACGTCCTGGGCGTCCTGGCCGCGTACCGCCGCGGGGCCTGGACGTGCGCCGCCCTCCCTAGCGGCCCGACGGTCGAAGTGATGCACCGCTTCAAGCTCCAACAAGCTGACCCAGAAAGCTGTCGAGAAATGAGACGGAAGGGCGGTCGGCGCGTGGCTCGCTCGGCGCGGCTCAGCGCCATTTCGGCCAACCAGCTCATTAAGTAATGTCTCTACCCTTTGAGTTGATCGAGACAGAAAAAAATGTATAAAACATAAAACGAAGACAGAAATAGGATAAAAAAGAGTGTAGGTGAGGGGGTAATCCCGTCATTTCAGAGTTCGTCTCTCCTTTTCGCGATCTTTCCGATAGGTTGACGGTCTCTTCTTCCAGCTTTCCGAGAAGAGAGAGGAACGTGCCTGAAACGTAAGCCTGCTACTCGGAATGTGTGTGTATGTGTGTGCGCGCGCGCGCCTCTGTGTGTTGGGGCGTCGTGTGTGAGGGGCAGAGGGCCCCGACATCAGCATTCGCCGGATGAAAGGGGAAGTTCGGGCGACTTCTCGGAGTACACGGCGGTGCGGGCAGCGAGGGCGACAAGGGACGCGAGGTGTCCAGCACCTTTGAGTTCCCGGTGGTGGCAACTCTACCTTGAGGCCGCCGCAGGCGGGGTGGCAACTCTACACGACACACAGTGTGGTTTTGCCGGTTTTGCTTGCGCGCGCTCCGTGATGCCGACTCGGATTTCGAGCAGCGTTGTGTTATATTTCTCATTCTTCCCCGACCCATCGCCCGAGGGCCTGCGCCCTTTTCAATGCCGTTGGGAACTGCAATATCCTATGTGTGCACATTTTTGGAGAGTATACTTGACAAGCGAGTGTACTTGTGACTCTCATCGACCTTCATATGTGTCCTCGTCGCACTCCTATAGATTTGTACAAAGCACACATCTGGATCTTGTGTGTGGGGGGGGGGGGCTTTGTAATAATCTATACGACAGTGGCGGTGAGGTTAAATTGGATCGTAAATCCAATTAAGAGAAACACACATCGCGATTGCAAGTACAAGTGCAACAAGGAAGGTAAAGTTTTTTTTTTCTTTTTCATCCTCTTTCCGCTTTTTGTCGGCAGGACGAATGTGGCGGCACCTGGCGCGGGCCGTCCGCAGCATGAGGGCGAGGGCGGCGGCAGCGAGCTAAGGTAAGGCAGCACTCTGTCTCTCTCGCACTCATGGGGTGCCCCGTGCAGGAGCGAGAGAGCCAGAGCGACGAGACGCTGTTGCGTGGTGTCAAGTCGCCGCCCGGAAGGTGTGGGGCGTAGTCGAGTCACCGCGTGTGTTTCGAACCAATTTTCCCTCTTTTTTCTCTGCGTCTCTCTCTCTCTCTCTCTCTCTCTCTCTCTCTCTCTCTCTCTCTCTCTCTCTCTCTCTCTCTCTCTCTCTCACACACACACACACACACACAGCGCGCGCGACCGCTGCTGCGATTCCTCCCCCACGCACGCGTTTTGTTTTCTTTTGTCCTCGTTTACTTTTTCTGTTCCCTTTCCCTGCCCGCGTTTTGTTGGAGGCCACAGTGGCCGCAGTCAACGCTGATGAGTCAAGTCGATACAGCGACGAGCAGGTTTCGGCTGGCCGGGCCAAAGTGGCACTCGGTGCGGGTCGGAGGGGCGGGGGTGGGGGAGGTTGGAGAGAGGGAGGGGGGGGGACTCGGTATCTGCGGCACTGTGGTCCGGTCAGCGAGGATGACACGACATGATCGTTACAAAAGCCCCGACGACGTGGCAGAGTCAGGCGGGGAGAGGGGGGGGGGCTGGATAACGCTCCGGGAAGGAAGGGGAGGGGGAGGCGTTTATGTATAGTAACGGCGCAGTGTTGTGCGGGGTTAGGGTGGACAATATTCCATTAGAGAAGAAACAAAAAATATATTTCATTAAAAAAATTGCGTAAAAAAATGATTTGAGGGATTGCAACCGGCCGCATCGCGTGCAACACAAACAGCTGGGCACTGCGGAGTCGGATTGCCGGCAGTAAAAGGGAGGGGGGGGATATTGCAGTGCACTTGCTCCGCGCGGCCGTGCGGTCAACCACTACTTTCACTACTTTCTCCCCGGACGCGGGGCTCGCGTGTCCTTTGAGAGTGCGCCACGCGCGGCAGTCCATTTGTAGGCTAATGCACACACTTTGCGTCTCTGCCTGTGTGCGTGTGTATGTGTGTCGTCGTCTGTGTGTGTCCACGATGGCGTCCTTGGTCAGCTCCCTCTCGCCCGTTCGCTTTCGAGTGGTGTGCTTTCAGAAAAGCGTGCCGCAGGGCGTCGAACCATCGCCCCCTCGCGGCCTCGCCCGCGAGAGGGTTATGTTGGCACTACTGCTGACGGGACGAGCGGCTATGCTCCTTGGCCCGTGGGAGACTCTCTGATGACGGTTTGCATATCGGACGCACGGACAAAAAGAGGAAACAAGGGAAAGAGAAAAAAGATCGGAGCTTACAGGCGCGACGGCCGCTAGAAACAGCTGGAGGCGAATCTGCATAAAAGAGGTCGAAGGGACACGCGGCAGGACGCGGCGGCCGACGCAGCGACCAGCGAGGCAGCAACGAAATGTCATTCCTCCTCATCCCCGCTGATCCCAACTTATTTCTTTCTCTCGCTCACAAAGTTTGGCTGTTCGGCACCCCGCTCCTCATTAGCGCAAACAATTATGCAGACAGTATTGGTGCACATTTGGCGCAGCGTGGTGGTGGTGGTGTTGGGGAAAGCGGGTGGGGGGCGGGGCACGAGAGTGCTGCCGCGTTTCGAGGATTGACTCGCCCTTTGCCATCGCGTCTGCCTGCCGTTTGTCGCTCTGTCTCTGTCGCGGTCATGGGCTTCCGGCCACCGCTAGAGGAGTGCGAGAGAGACAGACGGACGACGAAAACCCGCGCGAAAAACGAATCTTCGGAACGGCGACGCGATGGTAGCGCCCGCCGGCCGCCGGGTAGGCCAGCCCGCCACACACGCCATCCCTCGCGTTGCCTGCCGTCCGGGCGGCTGGCTGCTTGGCTGACTGCCTCGTCTGGGCGTCCCTGCACTCCGCAGGGGGAGTGGTAAAAGGGTGCCCCTCCCACGCCGCTTGTTTGTGTTTTGCCGCCGCGCTGCGTTGACCCGATTGCTTTCCCGCCTCTAGCCCGTGGCAGGGGAAAGAGGGAAGTGGAGGGGGAGGAGGAAGGTTGTGAACCACTGCCCCCTTCGCTGCCGCCTATTAGCAACCACAGCCCAAAGCCCCGCTTGTCGCCGCGTGTCCAAGGCGGCGGGGCCGCGCGGGGCGCGTGGACAGAACGCGCCTCCTGAGTGGGTTGCCGCCGTGCGCCGCCGTTCGCCGCCGTGCCACGAATTGTGGAGGGATAAAGCAGGAGAGGGGGTTCAAGGCCAAAGGCGCCAACGGCGGCTCACCTGTTGCGGGCTTTACCGCTGTGCCCAGCCTCGTCCCCAGCCCTTGGCAGCCCTGCACTGAAAAACCAAACGTGGTCCAGACCGCACCACTGGGTGGTCAGATGGATCCCATTTGACACTCAGTTGGTGTGGTCTAGACCACGTTTGACGACGTATGGTGTGGTCAGACCACGTTTGGCCACGTTTGGTGTGGTCTAGACCACACCAAACGCCCCAAAACGTGGTCTAGACCACACCAGTGGTGTGGACAAAATGGCATCCATTTGACCACACCAGTTGGTGCGGTCTAGACCACGTTTGATTTTTCAGTGTGGGCAGCACTGTCCTCGCGGAAGCATAAGCGCGCAGGGGCCGGAAAAACGGATCAGATGAAAATATAACGAAGCCCGTATTGCATTTTGTTTTTGCTTGTCTCCGGCAGGTGGCGCAGTTGCTGACCGCCTACAGGCCCAGGATGGTGGCTGCGGATGAAGACGACGACCCTGCCTGCCCCGCCAACGCCAAGCGGCCCGCGGCCTTCCAGAGCCGCCTTCCTGGCCTGCCCGGCGCCGCCACCTACAACCAGGTCAGTCAGCCGCAGCCCTTTTGCACACTACACGTTCAACACTTTTCACAAAACTTTACGCGTTGCAAAGAAAAAGGTCAAATTAATTGACGCACATCGGATACGTGATGGCACACTTGTCGAAGGCCAAGAAGCCACCAAGAGTGCTCCGCTCTCCCCACCAGGCCCCGGAGACAAGAGACACTGCCCCTCTACGCTCGAGGGTCACTGAAGCGTCACGCTTTTTTCATTAACGTTTGTTTCTCTCGAGAAAAGTTAAAGCGGACGTTTAATTAGGAAGACGAGGCTAGAGAATAATTCTCAAATCTGGGCGCCGCTCCGCCGCTCCCTCTATCCCACCCGGCCGCCCTCCCCGCCGCTCGGCCCCGCCAGAGGGTCGCGATATTCGGCTAACAGAGTTGAGTCCCCTCCTTCCTCCTTTCGGCCGTCTTGTTAATTGCCTGCAAATTGCTGTTAATTGGTGCTTACGGAGGCGGTAGTGAGGACCCGCCCGCGATTGACAGGTGATACTCTGTGAACTCGGCGTTCGACGGAAGTGGGCGGCGAGTCTCGTTGTTTCGTTTGCCGCATGACCCTGTGCGGTATTTACCTTGTAAGTCTCTGCGTACGGACTTACGCGCCGCCCCTCCCCTCTTTTCACTGTCGCTCAGAGGCGCGGGGCTGCGGGGCTCAGGTAGCAGCCGACGAGCAAACTGTCGGCCAAACTTTTCCCTTCCCGACTGTTCTTCTGTGCTTCTCGTTCTCACCCCAGCCTCGGCGCTGCACGCCGCTTCGCTGTGGGCTCGGGTTCGAATCCCGGACGCGCCATTCATTTTTTTCGACCGTCCGTTCCAGGTGCACGATGTCGACAACCCGCTCGTCGTCCAGGACCCACCTCCCCCCGCACCCGCCGTGGCCGCCCCCCTGGACAAGTCCGAGATCCGGATACGCGTGGGCCTGGGGGGCGGCGGCGGTGGGGGCGGGGGTCTCGGCCTGGAGGCGGCCGACAGCGACGGCGCGGGGGACTCGCTCGGCGGGGAGGTGATACCACACGGGTACCAGCAAATGGTGCCCCTGGACCCCGACGAGACGACCGACTCGACGGGCTTCCTGACGGCGCCGAGGCACAGCAGGCCGCCCAGGAAGAGCTCCTCGCTGCTGGCCGCCGTCACCCTGGCCGCCATCTCGGGGGACCCGCCGCCCCGGGAGACGTGGAACAAGAAGGTGGAGTTCCTGCTGGCCGTCATCGGCTTCGCTGTGGACCTGGGCAACGTCTGGCGGTTCCCGTACATCTGCTACGCCAACGGTGGAGGTGAGTGCCACAGTGTGCAACAGTGTACTCACTGCTTTGGCTTCACAGTGTGGTAGCCCCGATGGCGTGATGCAGCCAGACTGATGGCAATTAATACTTCCCGAGGCGGGAATGTGTCGCCGCGCTGCTGCCGAGCGTCGCTGTGTCTCTCTCGCACCCACACGCGACCCCACGAGTGCGACAGAAATGAGATTCTTTGGAATCAGTCCATCCGCAGCCTGGATCGTATAAAGCTAAAGGCTCCATTCCACTGCGGATTAATTATCTCATTTCTGGTGCACGGCCCCACGCAGCCGCGCTCGCCGCTCGGGGCACGCCGGAGGGGTTGGCTGCAGCTTGTTGAAAAGCAACTCTTTTTTTTTTCGGACTGACTCTCCAAACAGTGACGGGTTGGGATGGCTCCAGACGATTGTCTCTACAGCGGCGTGCCTGCCGAGGCGTGGTGTGGCGGGGCGGGGCGGGGCGGGGCGGTCAAGGACGCGGCTTGGCCGGCCGAATTGCCCGGCCGGATCAGAAAGAAATGAGTTAACTGTGAAATGAAAAAGGATCGCATGTTGGGCCCTTGGTTTGGATTCGCAGAGGGCCCTCTGTTTCGCCCTGATGAGATTAGGAATGGTCTCAGCAGGACAATTTTAATGGGAATAGCCTAATGTGTTTTTTACACTTTTCTCGCTTTGAATTGGGGCATCCCTATTATCGACATCTCTTTTCGTTTCAAAAACCTTTTGCGAAAACGCAATCGAATACTAAGGATTTCTGAGACGACGAGCAACAGGTACTTGCCGTGAAGCACAGCGGTATTAGTCGGTGTGCGCGTTGGACCCACCTCACTGAAAAAATAATATTAGAAAAGAAAGTATATTGATAACGCATTTCTGTTCCAGGTGCATTCCTCATCCCCTACTGCATCATGCTGGTGTTCGGCGGCATGCCCCTTTTCTATATGGAGCTGGCGCTGGGGCAGTTCCATCGTTGCGGCTGTCTCACGTTGTGGAAGAAGATTTGTCCAGCGCTCAAAGGTTTTTCCGTCTTTTTCTCCCTTTATTTATAATTAAAAATACCAGCCATCAGTTTGCTGGTTTGAAACTTTGCCTTCTGTCGAGATTTGCACAGCAACGTGGCTCACCTTGGCCGCAGAGGTCCGCTTTCCAAAGGGTTGACGGTGTGAAGATGCAAAAGAGAGGAAGGGGGAGAGGGGGTGGGGGTCACTGTGCACTGAACCGCATCATGCACGGGGCGCATCGAGCGCATCGCCTGGAGTCACCAGGGCCAAACAATACCCATCATTACAGCCTGGGGTGCTCCTCGAGGCGCCCCTCCTCCCCCTAATCTTGGGGCGGGGCGGGCGGGGCGGGGCGGGGCGGGGCGGGCGGGGCGGGGCGGGGCGCGGTGTGACTTACAGGAGGCCACTTCCCTTCCTGCAGTCCGCGCGCCCTCAGCCCGACCCTGGCCCGGCGTTAATTGAACGAATTAAGTGCGTACGTCTTGAAGGCAACATCGCCCCCCCCCTCCCGCCCGGCCCGCTCCACGCTGCACCCCGCCCCCTCCCCCCTCTCCGAATCCGGCAGGTCCTGATGGAGTTTACTAGCTCCATAGAAACACCAGTTGCTCCGTCCAGAGCCGCAGGCGGGCGTGGCGGGGCGTGGCGGGGCGTGGCGTGGCGGGGCCGGGCGTGGCGGCCGCACGGCGCGGAACTCCCCGGCCGCCTAAACACGCTCTCTAACAAGGTTACCGTCTAGTTCCCCGCGCCTTGGCGACGCCCCGCGCCCTGCAGCTAACGCGCCCGGTCCTGGAAGGATCCCTAAAGGACCCCCGAAGGGCCCCGACGGGCTCCCGAAGGGAAAACGACTCTGAGGTTGAGCGCGGTGCTGGCAATCACAATGTTAGCCCGAGGCGTAATTTGTCTGACGCAAAGGTTTACTGTACCCGAAGCCTTCCTTTTCTTTTTCGAGGTGCTTTTCGGTCCTCCAGTGAGCTCTGAGTCTTCCCGCGGTTCTCCCTCCCTTCTCGGTCGGCTCTAACTCTTCACTCCAACGGCGGCCTTATTCACTCTTCACGCACCCCGCTCGTGTTGTACGCATGCTACGCATGTGCGCCCAGGGTGTATACGTTGACACTATTTACCCGGCAAAGTGGTCGTCCCGGACGGACTGACCGCCACATCGCCACACCACCAGCGCCACAGGCCTCAAGTCTGTCCCTGTCCCAGTCCGTGGCCGTGGCCGCCCTGGCCCTGGCCTCCACCATGATCCCGTCCGGCCGCGCACAGCCCGTCCCCTCGGCCAGCCAGGCTTGCCGGCCGAGTGCGGCGGTGGGGGCTCTCTTCGTATTGACACTGCGGATTGCGCCTTGCGGCCCGGCCGGCCAGCCCCGCGGGCCCCGCGGCCACCACCACTAGTGGCGCATCTCGAGGCTTTGTCCCCGTCTCGGCCGCCTCCCTGTTTGACGAGGGCCTGCCCTGCCGCCGCCCTGGCCGCCGCCCTGGTCCCCACCCCCTACGCCGTGCCCGTGTTCGGCGGCTGCACCTCGCCGTCGTGGCGGCGGTCGACGACGTGGTGGCGGTGGCCATTAGCACAATGAGCACCTCGGCGGCGCCGAACGCCACTCTTCCATCCACTCCTCGCCGCGCCACGCCGTGAAGGCCCCCGTCCAGACGGCTGGGAAGGCCGCGCCGTGCCGAGCGGACTGGCCGTCTGTTTGCGGACTATCTCTGCTCCTTCTCTACAGCGATTCGCTCTTTGCCCCGTTTGATGGGGACTCGTCTGGGAGGGGAAGGGGGGCGGTTCTCTTCTCGCTTTGTTTGACGGCGGAGACGGACCGCAGGTCGGCAGTTTTAATGTCCGCGATCAAGGCAGCGGTCCACGCGGTATCCGCCAAGGGACTACGGCCCCCGGAAAAGTTCCGGCAGTAAACACTGCCAAGAGTTACGGCCAGAAAATGAACAATCGCTTTCTCAACATGATCAAATTTCTCAAAAACGAAGACACTAATATTTTGAAGAGGACCGTAAAGTACTAAAATTTTCGAGTGATTTTTTTTTTCAAATGTGTTTTGTTTTTATTATTGACGTCGGTGTGAAGCAGGCGCTGCACTGGGAAGGGGAGGCGCGGCCAGGCGGCAAGGCAGGCGGCAAGGCGGGCGGCAAGGCAGGCGGACGGGCCGAGTGGTGGCCGATGTCCGTCCGCCTGCCCGTCAATTAAAATGGACGGAGGTGTTGTCTTCTCCTTCTCCCCTCCTATTAAGTGAGGTTCTTCGCGCGCAAGACACAGACAGGCAGTGCGCGGACTGACGGCTACTGCGGTGATGGCTCTCGCGAGGGCACCGGTTTTAGCTCTTGGCCTCACAGATACATGTGGGGCCGTCTTTTTCGTGGCACTCTGTGGGATCCTTACTACTTAGATCGAATCCAAAGTTCACTCTGGTTTCCCGCTGGCTTCGCAGCGATGACAGTCACTGACAGTGGACCGGCAATGCACCGGCAGTGCACTGTGCCGACAGTGTACCGAAAGCGTGCCGAAGTCGCGAGAGTCGTCGCGGGGCGGCGCGGGGCAGCCTACATGATGATCGCAACGAGACACGATCTCGGCTTCTTTTTCCGGAGACGAAGCAGATCGTGAGCTTGGGCCGCGCCGCGCCGCCGCCGTGCCGCGCAGCCTCCCCAGCAGGTGCCGCCTGTTCGCCTCGGCAGTTCGCCCGCCTTGCCTCGGCGGGGCGCGGCGCGGCGACGCCACGCTAGCCTCGCTGAGGGTGCCAATAGGACACGCAGGCCGACGGGACAGGCCTGGCGTCCCTGGCGCCCCACACGACACTCGGACCTACCGACCCGCCCCTAGAGACCATCCCAAGAGCTAGCACATTTTTATTTTTCCTTTCTTTTAAAAGCAAAAAAATCAACAGCACCTTTAGAGAGGCTACGGCGGCGATGCGGTTCTCGTCGAAAATAAGCTGATGAGATTGTCGGCTCCGTTCGAAAGCCGGCGCACTCACACAGACTCTAGCAGTGGTGCGGCAGTGAAGGCCGCCGTTCGCCACCGTTTATCGCTTCAGTCATTGTGTCCTTGTCGCGCGCAGCCCGGCGGCCAGCCCGGTGGCCAGCCCCAGCGCCGTGAACATCACTGCCACGGCCTCGGCCACGGCTAGAGAGCCAGCGCCCAAGGACACGTGCCTCACTCCGCGTTCGCACGGCCCGAGGCTGCCCGAGGCCTGCAGGCTGGCTGAATCCGAACAGTGCCGCCTCTCGCCTCTCTCGCTCTCGTGGGGAGTTCCAGTGGGCATCCAGTAGGGGTGTGAGGGAGACAGAGCGACGGAACGCTGTGCGGAATCAGAGGGCTGGGGTGCCTCGCCCTCGCCAAACAATGGCCCTTTACGCACTACACACGACGCGGCGAGTTAGTTCGCAGGAATTCACCCTCCCCTCCCCCTTCCCCTTTCCAGTGCCGTGTGCCCCCTGACACCACCAAGTGGCTCACGGACGACTTGCGCCAACACACTGCGTTGGTGATGCACTTGCGAGACACACCAATCATTTTTCAAGCTACGCAGCACCGCCGTCTGCGGAGATGGGATCCACTGCGACACATATTTCGCTTTCACTGTTCGGCAGGTGTGGGCTACGCCATCTGCCTCATCGACATCTACGTGGGCATGCACTACAACACCATCATCGGCTGGGCGCTGTACTACCTGGTGGAGAGCTTCCAGTCCGAGCTGCCATGGACGTCGTGCAACAACACCTGGAACACGCCCAACTGCACGCCCGTCGTCGGGGAGCAGTTCAACTACTCAACCAGCCCGGCCAAGGAGTTCTTCGAGTACGTACACCGCAAAAAAAACAAAAAACACTGCAGCATGTTATAGTCTTAAGTAGATATATATATATATATATATTTTTTAAAGCTTCGTTTTGTCCGTTTTGAGTGCAATTTTTTGTTTAAACTTGCCGTATTTGTGGCGTTACAGGCGCAGCGTGCTGGAGCAGCATCTGTCCGACGGGCTGGACCGCATGGGCCCCATCAAGTGGAGTCTGGCGCTGTGCGTGTTCGGCGTGTTCGTCCTCGTGTACTTCTCGCTGTGGAAGGGCGTCCGCAGCACGGGCAAGGCAAGCAAAGACACCATGACGGAGCGGGCCAACATGCTCGACATGCATTTAGATTGGCCGCTGTCAATAACGCCCTTCTCCACGCGTTGGGTGGACTTCGCGGATGGCGCGTGGTGGGACCCGGTGCCACTCTACAAAAAATGTCCTGTCAACGCCGTTAATTTATTACCAATGTTTGCTGTTATGCAATTCACGGCGTTTGCTGTGTACTAGTTCACGGCGTTACTGTGATCTCGGTCACGGTGTTCACTGTGATCTGGCCACAGTAAACGCCGTGAATGAGCTGATTTGGGGTACTTCGGTGCTCAGCGGCGTCAAACTCACAGTTTTCTGGGCCGACACAGTGACACCGTGAACAAGATCACAGTGAATCCCGTGAGCAATCACAGTAAACGCTGTGAATTGACCTACAGTAAAAACTGGTAATAAATTAACGGCATTTACAGGACATTTTTGGTAGAGTGGCGGTGGGACCCGGTGGGACCACACCACAAAGGATCGGGGGATGGGGGAAGCACCTGTGGGAATGTCCTTCGCGCCCCAGAGCGGCCACGCAAAATACGAGATGATATCCGCTTGCTTTTCAGACCGAGCAAACAATGTGGCGACTGGATAGCCCACCCCCTCTCCCTTTCTCCCCCTCCCCTCCCCCCTCCCTCTCTCTTTCCCCCGGTCGCTTCAGTTTTCACTGGTTTTCACTTGCATTGTTCTAATCCCGCGGCCACGTTGATCGGCGTGGGAAAGGGGAAAGAAAAAGTGAAAACAGAAAAACAGGGACAGTGGCAAACTTTTTTTTCGGGGATGAATATATTTTTCGCATTTGTCCAAAATATTACGGAGACGCCGCGAAAAGAGGCAGCTTCCTCGCAAAGTTGCACAAACGGCATCGCGTTTCCAGCCTGTCACAATAACTGCTGAATAATTATTTCAGCGACAAAAAAATTCTGTTCGATCAATGTGTCTACTCCGTCGACCCCCGTTGTCTGTCGGCTGTTGGTTTCGGGCAGAGTTCTGATTTCTCTTGGTGTTGTCGAGTGGAGGGGGTGAAGGAGGTGGTGGAGGTGGTGGTGTGGAAGCGGCAGAGGAAGAGGGGGAGAAAGAGGGGGCGGAGAGTGTCTTAGAGCGACGTATGAATAAACCCATTCCATCCACTCGGTCGCTACGCTACGCCGGGCTACGCCAGGCTACGCTACGCCCTCCGTACAACTGCCGGCTCCAGCCACTTGTCCAGCTTGTTAAATGGCCTGGAGAAAAGGTGTGGCCGGGGAGGGGCAGCACTACTCTTTATTGGCTGGGTTGTAAATGCGACCACCCTCCAGACAAAAGCAGTGGTGTGCGCGTGCCCTATTTGTCACATTGGCTCGCTGAGGGCCCGACGGAAATCGCACCCCGTCCTTCTTTCCCTGGCGTTGATTTCTCTCAGGATGTACACAGCAAAAATGTAATTCACATTGGAAAAATTGGGTTATTTCTCGCCCCGTCCAAGAGCCGTTCGACCACTGGGCGGTGCGCTCGGTTCCTATGTTCGTTGCGCGCGCCCGCTCGCACTCACACATACTCTCTCTCTCTCTCTCTCTCTCTCTCTCTCTCTCTCTCTCTCTCTCTCTCTCTCTCTCTCTCTCTCTCTCTCTCTCTCCCTCCCTCACACACACACACATACATACATACACGGAGACCGTGATTCGAGATACGGCTTCTCACAAAAGTCCTTAGTAGGCACTTCCCCGCTCGGCCGCGCCCCTTACCACGGACTCCGAAACTCCTTCCCTATCTCTCTCTCTACCTGGTGGTTGGTGCGGCCCTCGCCTCGTCTCACATCATCTGTGTTGCTAATACCCCCATCTTTCAAGCGGCTCCCCGCTGCAGTCCCTGCTTTGCCCTGCTTTGCCCTGCTTTGCCCTTTCACACGTGGCCGCCGTGCCGTCACCTCCGTCGCCCTTATTTCGCATTCCTGGCGATCAAGAAGTCCGTGCCATCCAATCCTCCCCCCCCCCCTTTCCCCCGGCCCGGTGCGTGAATGGATATGAGGGGGAGCGCCGCCACCGCCGCTTGAATTGGAATCAGAAGGCCGTAAAATCGGCTAAATTCCACATTATGTCGGCCTGTGTCTCGCGGGGTCGGTTTGTTTGTGTGCAGAGTTACGAGTGGTGCGCACCGAGCGGTGTGATTTGATTGCCTTCAGGACGCGCCCGGAGCAGTTTGGGTGGATAGCCCGGCCGGAGGAAGTTTCCTACAAGGGACTCAAATTTCTGGAAACGTATCATTGTGTCTGTCACCCTCCGTTCCGCTCGACGCCGCGCCGAGACTGGGGCGGGGCGGGGCGGGGTGGGGCGGGGCGGGGCGGGGCGGGGCGGCCTGTCTCCGTCAAGAGGGGTGAGGGCGGGGCGAGAGCGGTGGACAAGACGGTCATTACCACGCTGCTGGAGACTACAGCAGTCTGCTGATTAAAGCCCGGCCGGACCCTCGGCGGCGCAGCGGCGCAGCGGACCCCAGTGTACTCGATTCCTGCCATTGATTGTTGGCGCTTTGGCGCGCTTTGATGTGTTCCAGGCGGTGTGGGTAACCGCGCTGGCCCCCTACGTGGTGCTCTTCATCCTGCTGGCCCGCGGCGTCACCCTGCCCGGCGCCGACGTGGGTATCCGCTACTACCTCACGCCGCAGTGGGAGAAGCTCAAGGAGTCCAAGGTCAGTACCTCAGCCCATAGGGTTGCCAACTTGCCAAAATGTGCTCTCGCGGCGCGCGGTTTGGCGGATAACTTTGGGGAAGTTAGGCAGAGACTGCGAAGTGGCCACCCTAGCCGAGCCGAAGGAGGAACAGCGAGGCAGGGCGGCGGGGCACGCTGATTACCTCCGCTGGACTGGGCGGCGCTGGCCGTGCTCGGCGACAGCGGTGACAGCCCAGTGGGCATCCCAATGGGTCAATGGGTTGGCCGGCTCGTGCGGCCGCTGTGTTGGCCGCCGTGGTGGCCGAGCGGTGGCTCGCACTGACTGCCACTGCCACCGGAAAACTAATTGGAGTGTTTTGCCCGGCCGGACCAGCGGCACCAGCCCCGCCACCCCGCTGCAGCCGCGGCCCGTTGTCACACGCCCTGTAGAGCGATCCAGTCTGTCTTTCTCTCTCACTCTTTAGTCATGGGTCCATCAGAGCGACGGAGCCACTCTTCCGGGTCACTTCGCGCGGAAACGCGCGGACATGTCGCGAATGCCAGAAGTGTCCACATCAGCTCAAAAAATACTCCCCCACAGTTTATGTTGCGTTCAGGTCGTTGGCATGTTTGCACTGAAGGTTCATTTGCCAGGATTGGGGATCCCGTTCTCACCACTTCCCGTCAAAGCGGAGACCGCCTGGCAGCAGCGGCTGTGGCAGCAGAAGGACGATGTTCCGACACTGTACCAAGCTGGCCCACTTTGCTGCGGCTAATCCCTACAAAGACTCGCTGCGGATTTTTTCCCTTTTTTTTGCTTTGCCACGTCGCGTCACGCTCCGCCTCGCCTCGCGCGCAGAGAGCGTGAGGGCGCCGCGTCTTCGGACGCCACGACAACGCCGCGGATTATAAAAGGAGGCGCGCTCTCTGCGCGGGGCGGGGAGGGACGGGGAGGGGCGGGGCCAGAAGGGTTGGCGCCTCCACGCATGCGTTTCGGCCTGCCTCTTCATTTCCCCATTTTCCTATTTTTCTATATTCCTGTGGCCATGACAGCGGCGGTCGAGGCGGCGGCCCAACGCGCGAGCAAAAAGTTGCGCATCGTGTTGTGCAGTGACGCTGTGACCAGCGAAGCGGCACGGCCGTGAAGGGAGCACAAGCGCCGCGTCCGTCCGCCTCGGCTTGACCCGACGCCGACTCCACCACGCCACGCGAGAGGGCGAGAGGGCTGCTGCTCTGTTCGAAAAGCGAGACAACTCACGCTCATTATGACTGCAGGTGTGGATCGACGCGGCCTCGCAGATCTTCTTCTCGCTGGGCCCCGGCTTCGGCACGCTGCTCGCCCTGGCCAGCTACAACAAGTTCAACAACAACTGCTACAGGCAAGCAAGCCGGGCAAGCGTGAAACGGGATTCGGATTGCTTCATTTTTTGCGCACTGTGTCTCCGTCCTTGTCGCTCCCCCTGATTGTCTGCCGCCACTTGTTGACGCAGGGACGCCATCCTGACCAGCTCCATCAACTGCCTCACCAGCTTCCTGGCCGGATTCGTCATCTTCTCCGTGCTGGGGTACATGGCCCACATGCAGAACAAGAGCGTGGCCGAGGTGGGACTTGACGGTGAGCACCAGATTCCCAAATTTATTTTGTAACCGGTCACTCGCACTCCTCGCAATTAAACGAAATGTTTCGATCATCTTCCGACAGGCCCCGGCCTCGTGTTCATCGTGTACCCGGAGGCCATCGCCACCATGACGGGCTCCGTCTTCTGGTCCATCATCTTCTTCCTTATGCTCATCACCTTAGGTAGGATCAGCCGCTTCCCGCAGCCCCCCTTCGCCGTCCATCCCCAGCCAACAGACGCTTGCTTTCTCTCGCAGGGCTGGACTCGACGTTCGGGGGTCTGGAGGCCATGATCACGGCGCTGTGCGACGAGTACCCGCGGCTGCTGGGCCGGCACCGGGAGATCTTCGTGGCCGTGGTGCTGGTGCTGGTCTACCTGTGCTCGCTGCCCACCTGCACCTACGTGAGTACCTCCGTGGCGAGGGAAGCTCTAAAGCGGCCGCTGCGGTCCTCTGGCGGTGGCCGTCGAGGCCCTCTGGCCGAGCCTCTGGCCGAGCCTCTAGCCCTCTGGCTGGCGGGCCGCGGACCCGCGAATCACTTTGGGACGCAATGAAGCGGAGGAGTGGGGCCCCGCCGGGGGCTGTGCACACCGTGGGTCGGCGAGGGGCCGCAAGGGGCGGCCGGCAGAGGGTCGCTCCACTCGCTCGAGGACGAGGACGCCGAGGAGAGAAAGTTCCACTCCTTGAGATCGAAAAAGAAACGAATCCAAATTCAGGCGGAAATGGCGGTGGAGCTCGCAGCGCAGCGGGTCGAAAGGGGCGTCCGGGACTCAGCGGCCTTGGCGGTCGGGAAGTGATCCGGGCAGGCAAACTGACGGCGTGGAGACAGACAGACAGACGGACGGACAGACAGACAGACAGACAGACAGACAGACAGACAGACAGACAGACAGACAGACAGACAGACAGACCGTCGACGAGGTGCGGGAGACCAGATAGCACTGACGGACGGCTGGCTGCGAGTCATTAAATTAAAACGAGGCAGGCGCCGCGGCGTGGCTCTGTGCTTCGTGCTTCGCGCCGCCAGGCCGCCACAGAGCGCATCAGCGATCTACTTGATTGCCGGAATCTGTCGGCGTCCCGGTCGTCTGCGAGGCCTCGCGGCTGCCGGCAAGATAGTTGGGGGAGTTATTCGACACCCCGTCGCACAGTGGATATGCCAGAAGACCGGTGGAGGCGGCCAAAATCCCGAACGCGTTTCCAGCTCCAAGCTAAATGGGACTCGAACCGAACGTGTGACCCCACCAATGGATTGCTCTCCCGAACGAGGAGTCCATTGGTGGGGTCACACGTCCGGTTCGAGTCCTGGTTAGCGGCTCTGGAGCTCAAAACGCGTCTAGAGTTTCGGCCGTCCCGGCCGGTCTGCTGGCCCACTGTGCGTCGTCGTGGCTCGGCTCGGACTGCTCCATGACGGTCCCGTTTTGCGCGCAGGGCGGCGTGTTCCTGGTCAACCTGCTCAACGAGTACGGCCCCGGCAAGTCCATCCTGTTCGTGGTGTTCGTGGAGGCGGCCGGCGTCTGCTGGTTCTACGGCGTGGACCGCTTCTCGCGCGACATCGAGAAGATGCTGGGCTTCCGTCCGGGGATCTTCTGGCGCTGCTGCTGGACCTTCATCAGCCCCGTCTTCCTTCTGGTAAGCTGCAAATATTGCAAAATGATTACAAAATTTACCCTAAAAACAAATTACTTTACGCAAAATTAAAAACTACTGAAAGTATACGGAAATTGTACTTCCACCCCGAAGGTGATCTTCATCTGCTCGCTGTTGGGAGACACAGACGACGCCAACAAGTACCCGCCGTGGGCCATCAGCGTGGGCTGGGTGTTGACGGCGTCCTCGCTGCTCTGCATCCCCGTCTACATCATCTACAAGTTCTCCATCACGTCGGGCAACTGTTCGCAGGTAAGTCCATGTCTTTCCGTAAGCAGTAACTCTAAAAGAAGGAACTGAGCCAAAGCACGCCGCTGTTGTTGTCCTCCAGCGAGTCAAGATGATCTGCGTCCGGAGGAGACCCCCGAGGAGACGGCGCTCAACGTCAACTCGACGTACGGCACCGGGACGCACGTCTGACTCGAGGGCGGCCAGGCACCGCACCCCTTGCCCGGCGTCAAGGTGCTGCGCCAGGACCACCAGGACGCGTGCACCTGGGTCATCGAGTGGCTGGTGTAGGTGCGTGTCTACGCATTGGCCATTGGCGGTGGAGGCGGCGATGTTACGTAATACCTGGACGCGAGGTGGCGGGCCGGGCGGGCCGCTCGCTGACTGGGGCTGCAAATAATTGACCGGCGTTCCCGGCGGACGGCGAGGCGGCGGAGCTCGAGAACAAATACTCCTGCCTGACGAGGCGAGGCGGCTGCGGAATATCTCGCTAATCTGTTTTCCCGGGTTTTCGCCGCTTTTCCCCGGTTTTCCCTGGTTTTGCCGGGGCTGAGGGTGGGGGGCTGGCGCGCCGACGGCGGCCGGGACTCGGAGAACGCTCCGGCCGGTGTCAGCGCGTATTGATGTAAACGACCGCCACGGCGTCGTCGTCGGCGTCCTGGAGTATCGCCATTCCGGCCACGCCACTGCGAGCGCCGCCAGCACCTCCGTCATTCAATTTAGCTCGCCCTCCAAATCCCCACGCCGCCTCGGCCCGCCTTGGCGCCGCCCTCCAGACCTCCAGGACCACCTCTGGAGCGCCGCGTCTTGAATAGCAGCGCCGCGACGACTTTGGGACGACCACCGCGCCACCGCCCCACCGCGCCATTTCCCAATGTCCGGAAAATTGGGAAAATTCGCTCATTTCCGTAATGAGGAATGAGTCGGCCGAGCTTTCCTTTCCCTCCGCGGTTGTGTGCCGGGGACTCGGAGGCGTCCTGGCGGCGTCCTGGCGGCGTCCGGGACCCAAGTTCGCTGGCGAGAGGGGGTCCGAAGCTGCGGATGCGTCTCTGGTTCTCACTTTCTCGCGCGTGCGGCACACTAGGCCACAGAGAACACGGCACGTTTTGATGGTGGGGCGGGAAAAAGTGGAACCTGTAACTGAGTAGTAGCGATCTGGACAACGTTTTCATGGCAATGTCTTCTTGTTCTTCTCTTGCTTCGAACGCTTTGAAGGTACATCCCCGAAACATGGTAGAGCTTCATGATAAATTCATATTCATATCTAGCTTGAAGTTTTAGAAATATTTATTAGAAATGTCGACAACGGCATTGTTACTATTTCCCTGTGGTCGAACTCGCTTCTCACTTTAGTGCCGCTGAGAAGGCAGGGGTTATTCGCAGGGGGTATTCGCGAAGAGACAACGTCTCTCGCTCCGGAAGTATCTAAGCGCGGCGCTACCCCTCGCTGAGGCGCGGCGGCGCGCCGCTACCCCTCGCCGAGGGCACCCCTCTGCTCAGCCCACAGCTTTAGTGGAATCAAGTTGTCAATGGTTCCGTCTAGTTGAGATAATGTGATCATTCTATTGTTGTTGGCCGACTGTTTTGTTTTTATACATACTCAAAAAAAATTAGAATAGTGAGGAAGTAACGAAAACGTGTGTGCATTCTTAACGCACTAAACACATTGCTGTCGCTACAATACAAACCGTAATTATCGAGTAGAGTACAACTTTGTAGAGTAAAAATGTATATTACGTAATGTTTACAGATATTCAGGGCAGATATGTATTTCTGAAACGACAGATCCATAATCAGGTGAGCTCTCTGTAGGGAAATTGAACTTTCGTCATCAACAAACTAAGAGCATGAACAAAAACAAACATTGCCTGTCCATGCAGAAAGAAATAAAAGAATTTAGAGAGAAACTTCATGGCCTAAAATTGGGTGCCAGTTAAAGACCTAGATTATAGTATTTACTATTTATACCACTGTGTATCATGTATCATATTGGTTCGGTAGGCTCTAATATTTAAAGCAGAAGTCTTCCTTACTGCTGTGTGCATACATGTATATTAACGTACGTTTAATGGAAGTAGCATGTTACTTAGTTCCTATTTGATGAACTCACATTGCCTTGGGCGATTCACAGCCAGAATCGGCCAGGGCATTTATTCTGTACAATATTCGTAAATTATGGGTCGGTACGATTAGATTGTTGAAAGTAGTTGTGAAGTAGATTGTGTGTTCATTAGTCGTATCACACTTGTAATTATGGGTCCTCGCCCAATCTGTAGACTTTGTAGTCCTGTGGTTGTGAGCTATGGGCTGTCGTTGAAGAACACGTAGCTCACAATACCGCGTCGCGCTCTCGTAGCTGAATCGCTTGTACGGTGTTATATGTACGTTATGTCAAAACGTAACTTGTGTAATTTTTTTAATAAAATAAAAAAAGGTTCAAACCTACAGTTACTGTTTAAGGCTAATCTATATCACCTGGCTCAAGGCCAGGTGGCTTCCACTCTTCGGCTCGTTTCGTCGCTGTCTCTGTCGCACTCGTGAGCCGTGCCGAAGGTGTGCGAGAGAGACAGCGACGGATTCTCCACTCTAGCGCCTGCGAAGCAGCGAGTAGGCAACTCGGCGACAGCTCTGTGCGGCGGGCTTGCCTACCCCGGACTCGACAGGCGCCTCAGAAGACCCGGTCGGTTCGTTCTTGTCGGAGTGCAGGGCGTGATCAGCACGTGAGGCTCTGGGGATATAGTGATTGGCTGTCGGCACAGCGTACTAACGTACTGCCCCTGGTTCGCGTGCGGGGAATGGGACGAGGAGGTACTCGCTCGTAACGAGCCTGCGCTGGGTTTACCCTCGCCGTGCGCGCCGTGCTCGCGCGGGGAGGAGCCCACCGGGGCCAGGCCAATGTGTGCGGAGCGGCCGCCATGCGGTCTGCCTTGCCCGCACTAGGTCTATCCTATTCCTGCCCTAGGCCTTGCCTAGGCCTTGCCTGGCCTGCCCCAGGTCTACCCGCCGCAGACGGCGCCGTGTTATCTCGCACTCCGTTTTTAGCTTTTAGCGCGTCGGCAGGCGCCTCGCCAAGGCAAGTCCAGGGGATGGGTGTCCACGTGGCGAGCAGGGCGAGCAGGGCGATAGCGAACAAGTAACGGCAGTCTCGCGCCACGCGGCCGTGCGGCCCGTGCAGCAGACCGATTCCGAGAATTGTTTTCGTCGCTCCGTCTCTCTTGCACTCATGGTGCATCTCGAAGGGGATGCGAGAGAGACAGAGCGATGGAACGACGACTACCCAGACTCGTTCCGAGGGCGTGGCGGCTCCTCTGACGTTGTTTTTGTGCGCACCCCTTGGCCTTGTCCTTCTACCTCCGCGAGCACCAACAGTTCTTTTTTTTTTTTTCAGAGTCACTGGATGACGTAGTGTCTTTTTGTTCGTCCCTCGCGCGTTTTCGCTAATGAAGGAGGGGGAACTTCGGGCGGCCGTAACGGCACACTCGTTCATTGCGCGTCACGCGAGTGCACTCTTAAAAAATTAAGTTAGTTCGAGTATGATGGAAGGGCTCTTGTCTACTGAAAACTCAGTCCTTCTTCAAGGGAAAGCTCTTTTCACCAAATTTAAGTCAGATTTGGTGGAAAAGAAGTTTTTCAAGTCAAAATAATGTAACAAGTCTCGCGTCAAGTCTGAGGAGTTCGTCCACCGCACCGCCCAGGCTGAGATTGCCCTTTCACCACACCATAAGATAAAACGCAACAAACTCCGCTCCGCGTCTTGGGAATCAACTGAAGATTTTTGTTCCAGCAAGTCGGAGATATGAAAAGAAGCATCGTAAATTAGCGACGAAAAGTTGTTTTGACAGGGCGGCCCTGAGGGTCATCGAATCTTATCGGCGGCCAGTTCACTATCGCGCTGACTGGGCATTCCTAAAATTGTCCTTCGGTCAATAACGGCTGGCCGGTGGAGATTCGAGATAAAGGGATGGTCTGCTCCGCTGGCATTGTCTGTCCGAAAACAGGTGAGTAGACCAGAGGAGGCCCTGCGTCATACCGACAGGGGGCATAAAAGGCCTGACGGAGCTGGCGCCACGCCGCGCGCCCCACCGCACCCCACCGCACCCCGCCGCACCCCACCGCACCCCGCCGCACCCCACCGCACCCCACCGCGCCCCGCCGCGCCCCACGCTAGACGGCTCGTCCGTCCCGCTCAGTCTCCCCCTGCCTCTAGCGGCGCGCACACCGCCGCGCCCAGAGCTGCCCGCCAAGGCCACCAGCGTGGTGGTCGGCAATCCGCGCCGCCTCGGACGACACTCTCGGACGGAACGGTCTAGACGCCGGCGAGGGGGACGCACCGGGCCGAGCTGGGCTGCGGCATGTAGTCCATGTAGTCCTGCAGCACGCGACACGGATCCAGGTACAGGATTGTTTTATTTTCTTAAATCGCGGTGTTTTTCGCAGTCACACGCGAGATGAGCATGTTGAGTCCGTACCGGCGCTCTCCTCCTTGCGTTCTCTATAGGTGAGGGACGCGGGGTTTCAGGGAGGCTCCAGGGGCCGCTCATTAAGCTGTGACGTCAGTCTCGAAGGGCGCTGGAAAGGGGGAGGGGGATGAAATCAGCCAACTATGGAATTGTTTCCCTCGTTATGCCGGCCTGTGTTTGAGACGGTGGATCCGCGCAAAGAAGACCAACAAGTATCCCAGGCGGGCCGTGGACTGGACCAGGGTCAACGGTGCGAGAGAGGGGCAATTAGGCCGTCTCGGCTGGCATAGCATGGCAAGGATGGCAATCAATGCGGCCTTCGCCGGCTGCCCTGTGGTTTCCCCCATCTTCCTGCAACCATTTTTAAAGGCTTTTATTTCACCTCCTAATTTTTGTGCCCCCTTTTTTGGTCACTCCGCGAGACTGTACTGATTTTAGCCCTTTTTTGTTCGAGCTCGAGGGGCTAGCTCCTCATTCACAGCCTCTCCCTCCTCGAAGCGTCAAGGTCTCCAGCGTCCTGCAGGCAGGCGAAACCGAGGCCCGAGGCAAGGCCTGCAGGCCTCCAGCGAGCGAATTATTCTCTTCAGCCTCGAGACTTCGGGGGTCTCGTCTAGTCACATCCAGTCGCCGCCAAGCAGTTTGTTGGGTAGCCGTTCTCCACCGCGGGCCCCGCCCCACCACGCCACGCCACGCCCGGCTCTCACTCAGTAACATTATGCCTCCGTTAGTTTTCTAAGTCAACATGGTCTTGCAAGCGCGCGCTCCGCCCCGCCACGCCCCGCCACGCCCCGCCACGCCCCGCCACGCCCCGCCACGCCCCGCCCGCCCCGCCCCGCCCCGCCACGCCCCGCGGATTGTTTGCGAGTTCCACGAAGACGGCAACTTGACCCTCGTCGCCGCCGTCGCCGCCCCCACGCGGTGCGCCTGGCTGCGCATGGCTGCGCGCTTCCAGTGCTGGGCAGTCCGCGCTAGTCCGCGCACGTGGGGGACTTGGAGGAGAAAGGCGCAGTGCTCGGCGCGGGCGTGGCCACCCTCGTCACAGTTCAAGGCCGCCCCGCCGCGAGGGCAAAGGGCCGCGACTCCGAGACTCCGAGACTCCAAGACTCCGAGACGTGGCCGTCGTGGTGTCGCTTTCACGTGATTCATGAATCAAAGCTTTGTTAAGCTTGACGCGCGATCGTTCAAACTGACGGCTTGCTCGTGTGTCGCGGCCACCACTTCTTTCCCCCCCCCTCTCTCTCTCTCTCTCTCTCTCTCTCTCTCTCTCTCTCTCTCTCTCTCTCTCTCTCTCTCTCTCTCTCTCTCTCTCTCCCCGCGTGGCTGGATCAGTTCCGGTTGGGGAGGGGACGGAGGGGACGGAGGGGCATGTCCAGCAAACCAAACACCAGCACGCAACCCGCCCGTCGTTACCCAACACCTAAACGATCTTCGGCTGAAGGAGCGCCCCGGTGTGGCTGTCGGCCGGTGAACGTCCCCGCAGCGACCCACAGATCTGGAGCCGCCTGAGGTTACCCCAAGGGGTAGGGCCGCCGTGAAGGTGACACGCCCTTAGCCGAACCACCGAGCCGCTGAGGCAGCGAGCCACCGAGCGAGGCCGCTACTCAATCCGTGCCGTCGTGCTGCTTGACGTCCTCAACGATCCGTCAGCCCCGTGGGCCCGGGTAGGGAAGGCCTTTGTGGCAGACCGACGCCTCGCCTGACCGATCATTCAACCGGCAATCCGTCCCAGCAATGCGCTCGAATGCGCTGCTCAAGGCCAAGAAGGCGGAGCAGGTGCACTCGCTGCGGCTCATTGGGCTGTTTAGACTGTGAACCTCGGGGGACTCGCCGCACTGCGAAAAGCGGCGAAAAGTCTACGGTTGGAACGAAGAGATCCTTCGCAGACACGTTTTTGCAGTGTGACTGTGGGCGGCCTGAGCAGCGCCCGCGGATACACGCCTTGGAGTGTCACAAGCTGACCGCAGAACCGCCGGGCAGTAAGGCCGCCCCGAACAGCCCAGCTCGGCCAGGCCCGCCAGGCCGCAAAGCCAACAGGTTGCGGACGCGCCGACGTGTCGTGTGCTTGTGTCGGACACCACTGCGACGACGCCACCGCAGCCTGGGGGCCTGGGGCTCGGGGATTGGGCGGCCTATTCACGAGACAGAGACAAACAGAGACAGACAGCCATCGACCTGGTGCCCGGGCCTAGGCCGCCGCACCGCCACCCGCACGCCAAGCGTCGCCAAGCACCACCACGCCGCCCCGGCAACGCACGCGCCGCGCCAAGACAACCACCGCCAACAACCCGGAGCGACACTTCACTTTCAATTTTAAGTTTTTAGCGAAACAGAGCGGAGGCGTTTGAGTTGTTTTGGACTACTTTGGCGCCGCGGTGGACGCGGCTGGGCGAGGCTGACAAGGTCACGGTTCTGCTTTTCCAGGTTGCGGCCGGAAGAAGGAAGGCTGGATAATTTGGCACGTCAGTCCCCTTCCCGTTTTTTCCTTTCCCCTCCGCCAACCGCAACACCTGCCAACCGCGGCACCGCGCCCCAACGGCCCCAGTGGCCCCAACGGCCCCAGCGGCCCCAACCCTCACAGCGCCTCACGGACAAGCCCTGCCCGCCCTGCCCAAATCGGGGAGGGGGCGCTTGGCTCAGCTCAGACCGAGGGCAAGGGACTGACCTTGCCTGGCCTCGACTGCCTCGCTTGCTGTCTTGTCGGCCGTTGTCGGCGCTTGCCGCGGTGCTAGCAGTGTAGCGTCGTGGCGTGTCCCGCGCTAACGGAACTGAAGGGGTTGCGGCGTACGGCGTAGCGCAGTCAATGATATCAGCCCTGTAATTTGCATACACTAAGGATGTGCCGCGGCTGCGGCGGGGCGGGGCGCGGGCGGGGCGCGGTGTGTCGCGGCGCGGATTTTACAGTGAAACAGACTGGAATGGGGGGTGGGGGGCCGCCCAGGGTTCTTGGGGTGACGTCAGAGGGCCCCGCGTTGGACGTACACGCCGGGCGGCAGTGGGGGGATTATTTTGGGCCATAAATACACGATGCTGGGAGTGGCATATTGTATCCAGACTGCCAGGGGCACGCTGCCGCCATGCCGCCGCGCTGCCGCACAGCCGCAGGCCACGTGGTCGGTTCGGAGGCTTCGCAGCCCGTGGGACCTGATCGAGTCGGGATGGAGGACGCGAAACGCGACTTGACAACCACAGCGGTGCGCGGAATTTCCGGTTTCGCTTCGTTCGTGTTGCAGCACTGCACGCGACACCTGCTATCTCTCTCACACACACTCATCGCTCTGCACCTGTGCGCCGGGCGACCTTCGTGACACCCCTCCTTCTTCAACAGCGTCGCGTTGGAAGTCAAGGGTGTGTGGCCCGGAACACGGGGGCGTGCTGGAAGTGCTGGGAGGCGGAAAGGGGGGGGGAGGGGTCCTATTCTCGCCGCCTTTCCAAAATAAATCGCCGCACGTGTTTAGACATTTGAATGCCGCGCCACCCCGAGTGGACTGAGGCGTACTCGCCGGTTCCTTCCACCCTCCACCCGCCGCCGTCGCGACCCACCCCTCCAACCCCTCCAACCCCTCCAACCCCTCCGTGCCGCAGTTCCGCTATTTCTAGTGCGCCTCCTCCGCACGGAGAGCCATTCTCGTGTGCGTGCGTGTCCGTATGTGTGTGTGTGTGTGAGCGTGTGTGTGTGTGTTTGTAAGCGTGTGTGTGCTCGTATCCTTGCCAGTCGCGGCGTGGCGAGTCATCCTGGATGTGGCTTCCAGCTGGCGGGCTGATTCCGAGCCTTGGTATGTCCCTCTCGCACCCGTTCGGGACCTCCAATGAGTGCGAGAGAGACAGACCCGGAATCGGTGTCAGCCTGGCAGTGCAGCGAAGGTCAGGGTGAAGGCGGCGTGTGTTATTGACTAAGGGCGTCGAAGGGGTGGGGCTGAGGGGGCTGAGAGGGCGAGGAAAACCCCAGCTGGCTGGGGCTGCGTGGCGCTGGGAAAGGGGGGGGGGGCAGGAAGTGTTCGGGTGTTGTGACGATTGACTCGAGTACTCGAGTGTCGGCAGTCTGCGATAAAGAGCAAGGGCACGGTGGCGGACGAGGCAGGTGGGGGTTGCGTGCCAGTGCCAGGACATTGACTAAAGGTAAGCCTTCAGTCCACTGCTTGCGACGGGACCTGCCACGGTGGACAACGCAAGTTTGCACCCGATGCCAGTTACCGTCCCGCAGGGCTGCGGGACTCTGGCGGGACTGGCGGGCTCAGCGCAGTGCGACGCGATGGTGGCGGCCGTCGCCTCGGTCGCCAAGCCGCAGCGGCGACGCAACACAGGCGAGGAACGGACGCCTCGGGGAAGCCCAGCAAGTGCGCGGTACCCTGCGGTACCCGGGCGAGGGGAGGGGGGAGCGGGGACTCCAAGCCGCGGTCTGACAGGGGTGGGGGTGGGGGCGCTGCCCGGCCTGGGCCAGCCTGGGCCTACCCGCCCTAATCCTCCCAATCTTTTTGATAACTCCATTGGCGCAGCAGCAATGCTGCAGTGCAGCTATGACAAGGGTGGCAAAAGACAGGTCTGACCCGCGGCACCCAAACTGAATTTTAAAGGGCAAGGGTAGTGTTGTTGGTGGCCCACGGCCCACGGCGCTAGGGGCTTGGCGCAGCTAGAGCGGCTGGGGCCCTAGAGCCCTAGAGGCTCGGCTAGTGCCGCGGTGCCGCTTGCCGCGGCGGGCTCCGGAAATATTGATGGCGACTGTGCCATCGACCTGCCGGCTGGTGCCGAACGGTGCGCTGTCTCTCTCGCATTCGTGGAGAGAAAGAGAGAGGAAGCGTGACGAAAGCACCGTTCGGGAGCAGCCTGCCGGCCCGCCGCCGGCTTGACACGGTGGAGACACGCGGTAACACGCGGTGGAGACTGGGCACTTTGGCGGCGCCCCGCACCACTGCCCCAATGCCTAATGCCATGCCGCCACAACGCCGCCACGGCCCAGTCATTACGACATTACTCAGCGAGGAGGTCGACCATCGACCGGAAATCGGCGGCGCTGGCGGCGTTGGCCGCCCACCTTCACAATCCGAGTCGATCTTTCCACCGACAAGACGGTTGAATCCGACTTCCCATAGGCCGTAGGAGTTTCAAGCACTGTTGTTGTTGTTGTTCCAGAAAAATGAGGGACAAGTCCGACGACATGCTGGCGCCCCCCGCGGTCACCAACATGAGCACCCCCATGCTCGTCACCCCCGACGCCTCCAAGTTCATCATGAGGAAGAAGCCCCACACGCTGCCGCCCCTGGAGAAGTTCCGCAGCCTGGTGAGTGGACGGTCTGGGATCTGTGTGAACCGGTGCCAACCCTGATACAATGCAAATATTTATTTTTTGGGGCACGTCTTGCGTTGCCATTTTTCAAAAAAAGAAAAACAGCAAATTTTGACCCAAAATAAATACCGGTTAAAAGCCAGGTGACCCGCCCGGCGCCTCTGGCCGCGGCCTGGCCCAGGAGCACGGCGTGCACGGCGTCGCGGCCGTGAGGACCGTGAGCGGTGCGCTTGACCTTCGCCGCGAATCGATACACAACACTGGCCGTCGATGGCCGCGCCGCCGAGGCATAGCCAATGGGCCAATGGGCGTGACAGGTGTCCGATGATGTGCCGACCGGCCGGCGGCCGGCTCGGCTGCCCGAGTGCCCGGGAGAGCGAGGCGACGCGGCGACGCGGCGGGGCAGCCGCGCCTGTGTTTAAAACTTTCCGAATTGTTTGTTTCCAGGAGGGGCGGGGTTCTCCAGTGCCCCAGGCCCGGCGGCGATCAAGCATCGAAGAGCAGCTGCTGCAGGAGGACGGACAGGTGGGCACCGCAGGGAGTCTCCGCGTGGCGTTGCGATAAGCGGCGGGGCATTTCTCCAGACTGACACTGACGGAGCGACAGGCGACGGTCGCCTGCCGTCTGCTCCCCTCGTGCATTCATGGCAGTAGGGTTACGGTGCCCATCAGCACGGAAGCTCGACTAACCTTTGCATTGTGAAACTGCCACAGGTGATCCCAGCTGAAGGCAGACCTCTGATCCGTCTCACCAAGTGCTCCGAGGACCCACCCAGCATAGTTGTGGGTGGCGGGGGCGGCCCTGGCGGGGGCGGCGGGGGCCTTTCGCAGCGACTGCCGCCCCCGAAGCAAGGCTCCACCCCCGCAGCCGCAGTCCTAGCCCCGTTGGGGAACCGCTACACTCCACTGCAGCCCATCCGACGAACCGGCGACCACTCGCAGTAGCCAAAGAGAGCCTCTGTTCAATCCTCCCTTTATTCAGGGCAAAAATATGTGCTGTCATTTTGATATCAATTTCTTCTCTGTTTCTCTCATTCTCTCTTTTTCTTTAATTCTTTAATTTTTAGGTGAAGGGAAATCATTCCCTTTATTTGCTGTCTTGCTGATGAAGTTAGTAACTAAAGAAAGCCACGCCATCAAACTAACTCTCTGTACTACTAGGGTAGTCCTTATCTTTCTTTTTTAAAAGTCTTGGGTAATTATCGAGGGGGCAACCACTCTAGAAATCTTGTGTCCCCTTAGCGCTAGAAATCTCTGGGAAATCTGAAATCTTGCCCCCCAAAAGGCCCAAAAGAAGCTATTTTTGAGCAAAATAACGGTTAAAATCTTGCGAAATCCGACGAAATCTTTTCCCTGAAGAAATCTTGAGTCCCCAAACATCCAATGTGGTTGCCCCCTCGGTAATTATTTACAGTTGAGACTAAGATTTACAAGAAATGTGGCAATTAAATAATAAGCAATTTCATTTGCAACCTGAACTATGTAGTCACTGTGCTTGAGTTGGGCTGGGCTGGTCCCAAGAAGGAGTTAAGAGATGAGGCTTGCTGTGCCAGAATGCAAGGAGAATACCTAGTTTTTAATTATTTCTGCTTTTAACTTCTAACTTTCTCTTAAAAATTCGAACATTTTTACTGCTTTCAAATTTTGTCCTCAAAATCCCTTTAGTTCAGTTCTAGTGCCATAAAGTGTTACGTAATTGGAATAAATGCCTCTTTTTTCTCTCTATCTCGCTCTTTCGAAATACTGTAACAAGTGAAAATGCACATTAGTTACAACAGTGTATCTCAAAAGGCTTTTTCCTCAGTTTCAATCTATAAAATGAGGCATATGTTGCTTAAGTTTCTTCAACTACTAATACTGTGTCCTAACAACAAGAAAAATTCTGAAATGAAATTACAATGAAGTTCAATTATTAGTGCCTTTGTCCTTCATATCAGACATGCTTCTACTCTTGTATACTTGTTTAGCTCCTTGCAAATAAAAAAGATACTATCTTACACTGGCAGAATTGACTAAACTAGAGGAGCTCTTATGGCCCCTGTAATTTCCCAACCAATACATAAGTGCATAATGGAAAACAATAATTCCACAAGTTCAAAAATTGTATTCCAGACCACTTGTGATCCAACTTTTTACAGCGTACAGAAAGAGACATCACATACTCATTCAGGGCTCATTTTTCTGGACAAGAAACATCATCCTGAAAAAACTAAGGAAGGCCTTACTGCTAAAAATATACATAATATCACATTGTATATACAAGAAAAAAGAAATCTGCTGTAACTGTATCACAGTGACATTTTCTTTTGTTTGTTGTTCTGCTTTAAAAGTAAAATAATTAGAATGACAGATCAAGCTCAGAAAATTGGCTTGAAACAACACCATCACATACAGAGAAATCTGCTGAGAGTGGTTGTTTTCACTTGAACAAACATGTTTAGTACACTTATTATTACTGAGAATCACTTGATGAACTGCTACTTGAATCTGTTGACATGACTTCAACGTCTTCCTCTGTCTTGTGATTTCGTGTTTCCATTGCAACAGAACCTTGACCAGGGACATTCATGTGCAAGTCTCCAGATGGATGCCATGAAAATTGATTCTGCGTAGAAACAGTTGGCTCTGAAATGATAATAAACAAAAAGATGAAAAGTGCATATATTGTTAAAAGGTTTAAAAAATAAATAATACTTGATTAACTTGATCAAACTATATTTGATACACATACCTGCTCCAGGAGGAAGGCTGTGCAGATCTGCGAGACCAGGCTGGGGCGCCATGGGGAGATTGCTTAACCTTCCAAGAAGGCCCTGACGCATCTCAATATCTGAAGGAGAATAAAACAAGTTAAAGAGACGCAGCCCCAGCAAATCATGAGGTGATCCAATTTAAGAGGGAAGTTACCAGTAGGATAAGGTCTTCTGGGGTCTCCTTGCTGCCAAGTAAGAGGGGCACATACAGCATGTGAAGAAGATATGCGATGAGCAAACTTGATGAGATCTTCAGAGGGGACTGGTCGCTTGTTAGCTTTTGCAATGGAAGCTAATTTTTGCCTTGCTTGATATATAGCAGTTGCCTGGTAAAATAAATGGAAGAAAGAGTGAAAATAATGCAAGATTCTAAAAGACGGTGGTAAAGGAAACAGTAAAATGTAAGTCATGTTTACTAACCAAAATCTGTTCCGCTTCTTTCAGTTGCCTTTGCAAGTTACGTATGTGGCAATCTTGTCTTTCTACTTCATTTTTGAGCGCATCCATTTTCAGTTCAACTCGTGCCTGCTCACGAGCTCGTTCTAAAGAGGCTTTCAGCTCATTATCCTTGTTAACTAAAAGTTCCGTCAGTTGAACCTGCTCACCTCCAGCCATTTTCTGATGCTTCATTGCTATGGTGTTCTCGAGAATTTCCCTAGAATTGCATGAACGAGAAATTTTACCATAAAAGAAGGAAACAATTTGTTAAAAGACCGGTGCATGAGAAGGTTTGAAAAAAAATAGACACTTGTTTCAATCATTTAGGTTAAGTAACATGTCTCAACAAGTTTTAAAAGATCAAATGGAGAAACATCCCATACTCACTTCGAAATCAATTCTATATCATCAATTAACGCAATGAGCTTTTCGCCGGTACTGATGTTTGACATTTTAATACAATTTTGGTGCCACTCGTAAAGTGGTAATTTCACCCACACAAACACAAACAACACAAACAAGAGGTGTAGTTCCGAATCTTGCCGCGGGACTGCGCCACTGCGCCATTTGGTGAATGTGAACGTGAATGTGGAACTGCCACCAGCGCGCCTCACAGCTGATTTATGACTTCTGCTGGGTTGTCTGCAACACACTGAAGACCACACGCCCCACACGCTCTTGTCTCTCCACATGTCTACGCTTTTAGCGTTAACACAATGGACTACGAAGAAGAAATACTGTCAATGTTCTTTACGAATGTGGCGCAGCTGTGCTTTGATAAGGCCAAAGAGGTTGTGGTACGTATTTGAAGCCCACCCCTTGGGTGCTGGCTTCTGGCGGGTGTTGTTTACCTTGCAACAGGCGACGATATCATCGCCAATATTTGCTTAAAATTATTGAATGCAAGGTTGTGGTAGTGCCTCAATTCTCACCCAAAGCTAACAGTGTTCATTACATCCCTTACGATGTCTATCCCAATCCTACTCAAACCATTAATACTGGCAAAAAGAGGTTATGTTTATTTCTTTGTGTTCCATTGGTTGTTTGTTCATCGACGTCACGCAACTTTTCGGTATTATTTGCTTAGGAAAAAGAACGTGAAATAAAGCAAGGAACCTCCGGCCCTTGGGGTATGTTGCTGACTCACCTTTCACCTCTTGCAACAGCGGAACGATCATACCTGGATCTAGGATCTATGGTTACAAAGAACAAAGGATTCCTCAGAAAAGATGTAAGTTGTAAAAATTTTGATGATCCTAAACAAAATGACGTATTGCTTGAAATTAAAAAAATCTTTTTACATCCTTCCCAGAATTCTCTACGCTCAATGTATGACACTATGCGATCTGATTTCCGACGAGTTGAAGAGTGTGCACGTAATGATCGTGCTGTTTCCACAGTATCAAGCCAACTTTGCCAGTTTCTGTCGGCTCGTATAGAGCTTATAGATTTGTATCCTTTAACACGAATACCACTCCCCCAAACCTCTTTCAAATTTTTCCCAGCTTTAAGTCAAGTATATGTTCTTGGTTTCCTTGACTGTTCTTCTTCAGCTATGAAAAGATGTATCAAGTGGGTACAAGCAAACACGTGCGTTTTGAAGACATGCTGAATGTTATTGAAGATATTGCAGACCGATTCTCACTAATGTTCACCCACATCTCTCTCACATCAGTCAAGACAGCCTTTAAGTAGGTCTTTCATTCAGTATTTCTCTTGCTATCAAGTCACTTTAGCTTCCACTGTCCTAATTTAGTTTTGAATAAATTCCAGCTTAGAATGTGAGATTCTAGTTAATCTTCTGAAGGCTCAGGTTGAAATGCAATCGTGGCATTTTTTGCCCTCACTGATGGCTTTACATGGCGCAAACACTCGACTTTCAGCATGGGAGCGGACATTGCAAAGCAAGGAGGTAAATGATTTTTTTTTTCTAAATCCTATTTTCTTGTTCTAATAAAAAATGTTTCCTCTTATCACTTGTTACATCCCTCAACTTTTCAGGTGTGGAAACTTGGATTCAGTGCTTCATTCTTGAAAACAAACCAACAGCCGATGCTTGTTCAATGGCTTGTTAAGTTTAAAAATATTTCAGTGAGCAAGTTTTCTCTATATTTCCATGGTATTCTTGCTCAGCAAACTACTGCAGCTGACATGAAATTCCTTAGCGGTAAACAAGCCTTTGACCCTTACCATAGGTGAGTCACAACATACATTTGGAAATACAATCTTTATAAGAAGGAGTTGTGACTTGTACGTAATTTTTCTCTCTCTCTCTCTCTCTCTCTCTCTCTCTTTCAAAGAATACAGAGCTTTCAAAAGAAATATGATGCTGCCTGCACTGCTGTAATGCTGGTTTTGGATGCCAGAGGGTTGGAAGACTACTGTGGGCCAGGCTATCACCATCCAAACAAACCAGTGGAAGCTCCAAAGGATATGGAGTGCTTTCCCATCATGGTCAGCTATCCCATGGTAAGAATAAATTTACCTGCTTAATTATTTACTTACAAGATTTAGTTTTTAACTTTTTTTTTAAATTTTGATTTTTCTTACTGAATTATATTCTTTTGTTTCTATCAGAAACCACCTGTACACATGCCTTATGTGACCAAAGCCATCATGGAGCAGAGTTTAGCGCTATCTTCCAATGAAAAACGATGCCACACTTTTAATTTGAAGGTGAGCTGCTTGGGCCTGGATCTACATTATGTGTTTGAGGGTATTGATATTACTGGAGGTCTTATGTGAATAATTTTTTGTAGGACCAGTGTACCTATTTCATGAGCAGCATTGATCCTCGAGTCTTCATGGTGGTAGTATTTGATTCAAAGAGAGCTGAGCGAGAAGCTCAAAATGTCGCCAACTTCATCCAAGAAATGAGTTTACAGCTAAAATGCAACAAGGTTTTTGCTGATTTGAAACCCAATAGTAAATGAAATGAATACAACTGACTTTTATTCTCTTATCTAACTAGGATTCAACTTGGACATTTTGTAGGAAAAACTATGTTCCATTTTGCTATCTGTGATGTATTTTTATTTTTTATTTTTGAAAAGTAGATTTTTAACACTGTGAACATTACATGCAAACATTCAAACATCTCTGAGTATATTCAAACAGCCACATTTGGCTAAACTGTTGGAATCAAAATATTTATTTCTAAGGACGAATGAATGTATTTTTTATACAATATGGTACAAATATTTTGCCGCAGAGAATTATCTGTTACAAGTCAAATACTATTTTACATGTTGAAAAATAGTCTTGTCTATTACTTGTATTTAGATTTTAAAAGACTTCATAAGGTGGTCTTGAGAAATGTGCAATTAAAGTCTTAGTCAATGTTTTTAAATCGCAATCTCTTCAGTTATGTTGATCTTGACATTTACTGTTACTGGGCAATGGCAATTTCGGGACAGTAGTCAATCTCTGTCCACTACAAGACATCGAGAAAAGTTTCCTAAGGCTAAGGCTGTGATTATTTTTAGGATAAGCTTGTTATTTTTGTTTTAAAGCCAACTCGTCAAAGCAAATTATGCTTCTTAGAAATGAAGTTAAAATCAGGTGATTGAATCACTGCAACTCCAATACTTTTGTATCTTCTTTAGTTGTGCTGGACATTTCCAGAAGTGTTTGTTGAAGAGAATTTTTATACTGTACTTTTATTTCAGAAATATTTTTATGTTGTCCTATTTTGACTGTGCAATTTCCTGATATTAAACTGCTAAAATTCTTTCTCTAGCTTATGATGAATTTCTTTCTGTCAGTTTTTGATCCCATTATTCTGTCTGTTCTGAGGTGAGTTGTTTCAACTTTACTCTTAGGGCTTCAACTCTTGTGGCAGATGGAATGCCTTAGTTTTTGTTTATCAATTTTATCTTGAAAGTCTTTTTAAGTCAGTTCTGTTCAGCTGTTGTGTTTAAAGTGTTTCATCTGTATTTAGTTTTCACTGCTGAGATCCATTTCAGATTTTATTTTGTCTTGACTTTTGTCTACTCGTATTGTGGTTAGATGTGACTGGGTAAATTGGAAGAAGAAGTCAAGGATAGTATTCTTAAATTACTTTTAATGAAGACAAAAAAAAACTGTGCAACGGTGTACATACAATTTAACACATAAATTGACAGTTTTAAAATGCTGCTGTACAGTCTAAACTTAAACATAATCAGTCATAATAGGTAGAGTATTTGGTGGCAAGTATAATCACAGTCCAAGCAAACAAATAAATTAAATGACAGATGATTTAACTATCTAAAATGGGAATGATTTTTAAAAAACTAACTCTAACTTCGAAACTATTGGAAACTACTTAATCAACCTCCTCGACAGTGGGTCCGCTGCGGTGGGCGCCGCCAGCCTGCTGGCCGCAGCCCTGTGCTTGAGGTCCTGCCTGTCCGCCGGTGTGCAGGCGGGTCATGACGTCCTGCACCTGCTGCTGCAGCTCCTTGAGGCGGTGCTCGTACTCCTCCTTCTCGGCCAGGGTGTTGCTGTCCAGCCACTTGAGGGTGGCGTCGCACTGCTCGCGTGCCCGGGCGCGGTCCTGCTCGGACAACTTCTGGCCCGCCTCGTCCAGAGCCTGCTTGATGCTGAAGACGTACCCCTCGAGCTGGTTCCGCGCGGCCACGCGCTCCCGCTGCTTCTCGTCCTCAGCCTTGTACTGCTCGGCCTCGTCCAGCATGCGCTGGATCTCCTCGGCGGACAGGCGGCCCTTGTCGTTGCGGATGGTGATGTTCTGCGAGCGGCCGGAGCTCGTGTCCTTGGCGGTCACGTTGAGGATGCCGTTGGCGTCCATGTCGAAGGTGACCTCGATCTTGGGCACGCCGCGTGGTGCGGGGGGAATGCCCGTCAGGTCGAAGGTGCCCAGGCGGTTGTTGTCCTTGGTCATGGCGCGCTCACCCTCGTACACCTGGATGGTGACGGCCGGCTGGTTGTCGGAGTAAGTGGTGAAGGTCTGCGTCTGCTTACAGGGGATGCGCGCGTTGCGCTCGATGATCTTGGTCATGACGCCGCCCGCCGTCTCGATGCCCAGGGACAGCGGCGCCACGTCCACCAGCAGCACGTCCTGGATGGCCTGGCTCTGGTCGCCGGACAGGATGGCGGCCTGCACCGCCGCGCCGTACGCCACCGCCTCGTCCGGGTTTATGGAGAGGTTGAGCGACTTGCCGTTGAAGAAGGTCTGGAGCATGGACTGCACCTTGGGGATGCGCGTAGAGCCGCCCACCAGGACCACGTCGTGGATGTCACCCTTGCCCAGCTTCGCGTCCTGCAGGGCGCGCTCTACCGGGGCCAGGGTGGAGCGGAACAGGTCGGCACACAGCTCCTCGAAGCGCGCGCGGGACACCTTGGTGTAGAAGTCGACGCCCTCGTACAGCGCGTCGATCTCGATGGTGGCCTCGGTGGAGGAGGACAGGGTGCGCTTGGCGCGCTCCGCCGCGGTACGCAGACGACGCAGGGCGCGGGGGTTGGAGCGCATGTCCTTGTGGTACTTGCGCTTGAACTCCTCGGCCAGGTGGTTCACCAGACGGCTGTCGAAGTCCTCGCCGCCGAGGTGCGTGTCGCCGGCCGTGGAGCGCACCTCGAATAGGGAGCCCTCGTCGATGGTGAGGATGGAGACGTCGAAGGTGCCGCCGCCCAGGTCGAAGATGAGCACGTTGCGCTCGCCCTTGAGGTTCTTGTCCAGGCCGTACGCCAGGGCCGCGGCGGTGGGCTCGTTGATAATCCGCAGCACGTTGAGGCCCGCGATGACGCCCGCGTCCTTGGTGGCCTGCCGCTGGCTGTCGTTGAAGTAGGCGGGCACCGTCACCACCGCGTCGCGCACGGTGCTGCCCAGGTACGCCTCGGCAGTCTCCTTCATCTTGGTCAGCACCATGGAGCTGATCTCCTCCGGCGCGAACACTTTGCGCTCACCCTTGAACGAGACCTGGATCTTGGGCTTGCCGGCCTCGTTGACCACGGTGAAGGGCCACTGCTTTATGTCCTGCTGGATCTTAGGGTCGTCGAACTTGCGGCCGATGAGTCGCTTGGCGTCGAACACGGTATCCTTGGGGTTCATGGCAACTTGGTTCTTGGCCGCGTCGCCGATGAGGCGCTCCGTATCGGTGAAGGCCACATAGCTGGGGGTGGTGCGGTTGCCCTGGTCGTTGGCGATGATCTCCACCTTGCCCTGCTGCCACACGCCCACGCAGGAGTAGGTAGTGCCCAAGTCGATTCCCACGGCTGGCATCTTGACTGAGATGATTCACTGGCTCGGTTGAAAACACAAGGTTCGATGAAACTTGGTAACTCGGAGGATGTGAAGCCTCGCTGATGATCACGAAATCACTGCTCTAAACGTCGATGCACAGAGAAATAGCTCTGGTAAAGCTCTGACTCGCTTTAGCACTCGCTCTGAATCGTTTGATAGCTCGCTGAGAACTGAACTGCCGGCGAGCGGCGCGCGCTGCTTTTATGCGCGGCCCAGCGCGTGGTGGGGGCAGCCGCCGATTCGAAACCGTCCCGCTGCTTCGCGCGCTTTCTCGGCGCTCTCGAATGTTCTCGACGCGCGCTCTGATTGGTCAGAGCAGGAGTGGCGGGGGAATGGACCTCCCCTTCCCTACTCCCTCCACTCGTCGCGAATATTCTGGCGATGCCAAGAGTAAGCGTTCAAGATGTTTCATCATAGTAAATATATTCGGTTTTTTGGTCTATTCCAAGGGACTCTGCAAACTAAAGTGTGTACATAGTACACTCTTATTGAAGCATGCTTCCAAGCACACTCCTATTTACAGCATACTTGCGAGGCACACGTCAAAGTAGAGTGTGCGTGGCATATACACGGTAAATAAGAGTGTACCTTGCAAGTACACGCTAAAATACACTCGATTAGTCCTAAAAAGCATGGGCCAGTTTAAGTGTACTTGCCAGGTACACACTTATTTAGCGTGTACATGCAATGTACACTTTATTTTAGTTTGTGCCTAGCAAGTATGCTGTAAATAAGAGTGTGCTTGGAAGCTGCTCTACACACTTGAGTTTGCAGAGGACCTACTTTAATTCGACGGTGACCTGATTTTTTGTTTTTGTTTTATTGATAAATTGAACACATTGAAATGTTCATATTTTTGAACTATGCCTGTTTTCGATCTAACTAATAGAAATATCGAAAAGAACGCAAATATTGAAGAGAATTGAAAAGAATAAAAATATTCGGAGTTCCATACCCCTTATTAATTTTTTCAATATATTCATCCCTATCTTTTTAGTGCCGAATGGGTTGCCTGTCCATTGGGTGCAGCAAGGGGTAACCAACTCGAGAAAATGAGTGAACGTCCATTGGGAATCAGTGAACACATAATCCGACATAATCACAATCATACTTTTGGAGATTCAATCGTTTTTTCACCGACTTTGAGAGGCTACGGCTACCAAACTAGGTGCGGTCAAAGCCTTCCCGAGGCGGGGCTTGAAAGAGTTGGGTCTTCAGAATACTAGAGCGTTGAGAAAGGCCTTTGACCGCAGCTAAATTGGAAGCAGTGGCTCTGCAAAGTCAGCAAAAACGGCCACTTTCGATTTTATCACTTTTTGACCATATTTGCGAGCGGCCACTGCTTCCAAACTAGCTGCGGTCAAAGCCTTCCTGAGGCGGGGCTTCCTGAGTGGGGTATACTAGAGCGCTGAGGGAGGCCATTGACCGCAGCTAGATTGGTCGCAGTGCAGTGCGGCCGCCCAAAGTCAACAATATTTGATTTTCGACACTTTGACTGCGTTCCGAGGCCGACGCTCAAATAATCTCGAGTAATCCTAATCAACATAATCGCTTATAGTCTCCTAAATATGCATAGTAATCAAGGAATCAAAAGTAAACTCATGTAATCAAAACATTATCTATAATTTTAATAAATTCAGTAAATTTCAAAGGACATGAAACGATTCTGGTATGATTGCTACACATTTCTTATTGTGCTAATGACTTCGGGATTGGAAGCTGGCGCCGGCTCTAGTTTTCCTGATTTGAGTATGGACTGATACTGTTTTCTTTGTCAACCCCCTCTCTGTGATGTCCAGGTTCTATATTCCAGCGCCCGAGGGATCGCTGGCCAAACCAAAGAGATTCCAAAGGCACTGAAAATATCACACAGCAAACCACTGTGTTTGCAGTTGTTTGCAGTGTGCAGTTGCGTTCAAGTCAGGAAGCGGCCAGCCCTCTCCACTGTTCTGGCATGTGCCGGCTGACCTGGGCTGACCCTTGCTTCCTGGCCCTTCCAGAAGATGCTCCACGCTGCGCGCAGGGACGCGCGTCCCTCCCTTGCCCCCCACCCCGCCACTCAGCCTCCCTCTCGAAAGATGCCGACCCTTCCCGCGCTCTCTTCGAGAAGATACTCCGTGCTGCGCGTGTCGCTACCCCTCGCTCGCCTTCCCCCACTCTCCCGCCAGCCACCCTCTCGAGCGGTGCCGAACCATCCCGAGTCTCCCAGGCGCGCCGCGACTCGGCTTCGCGGTGCTTCGCGAGCCTTCCCCCTCCACCGTCCCGGCCGGGGGGCGCGCTCTCATAAAAGCCGCCCGGGCGGCAGGCCCCGCCAGTTCCGTTGGAGCATTCTCAGAGCGCACATCGCGAAACCGCATCCAAGTGCCTGGCATTCCCTCCGCTGTCAGTTCAGTGTTCAGTGCTGTTCCTGCGAGTTGCTGAAGGCTACTGTTGAGTGACCTGTTCCCTGAAGTCCCTGTACTCCGCACATCGTTGCACGAGTCGTCCAAGTCTGTGAAGTTTGTGCAGCTGTGTATCCCGCTCGCCTCAGTTGTCCGTCTTACGAGTCTCGCAGTACAAAGGTAAGCATCGAGTGTCCATCACAAGGCCCACCGTGTTCATTATAATCCCTTCGTCGTCGTGGTGCTAACTGTCCGGTTTCTGCCCCAGATGTCTCTGCTTCCCTACATCCTTGGTGAGCTCCGCGACCTGTCCGGCAGCGACGTGTTCGCTTCGCCGGCGCCGCGTCGCCACCCGTTCCACCCGTACCGCCGCTGGGTCGACGTGGACCTCGACGACCTCGACGACGTGCTGCTCGGCCGCGACGACTCCCGGCGCGCGCTGCTCAGCCTGCTGAGCGACGACGCCCCGCGCTACCTCATGGCACGCCCTCGCAGGCGCCCTAACACCGCCGTGGAGAAGAAGGCCGTGAAGAAGACCGCCGACGACCGCCACGCCCTGGCCATCGACGTGGACGTGCAGCAGTTCCGTCCCGAGGAGTTGTCCGTGCAGGTGCTGAAGGACCAGGGCGTCGTCGTGATCGAGGGCCACCACGAGGAGCGCCATGAGCACCCGGACGAGCACGGCTTCGTGCGCCACCACTTCTCGCGCCGCTTCAAGCTCCCCGACGGCGTGGACCCGGACACCATCACCTCCAGGCTCTCGGCCGACGGCACACTGCAGGTGACGGCGCCGCGGAAGGAGGCCCTGCCCGCCCCGAAGGAGACCAACGTGCGGAACGTCCCCATCGCCCACGCCGAAAAGAAGGCCCTGGCCCAGGACGCCGGCAAGCAGACGGAGAAGCAGGCAGAAGACGAGCAGGACAGTGACATCCAGAAGGTGGATTAGACTTCCTCTGCCGATTATCCAAGACTGACTTTTTCAGTATTTATTATTTTTTATTTTTTTACCTGTGTGTTTCTGAACTTGTGTTTCTCCGTTACATGTGCATAGCACCTAAAAACTAGATCTCAGTGATTTTGTTTTGCATGTGTCAGTGTGTGTCTGTGTACGTTTGCCTGTGTATTTATGTATGACAGAGGAACTTGAATAAATGGTAAAATAATTACAAGTTGTTTTCAATCACTTTCCCTTCCGATATAATCTGCTCATGTTTGCTCTGATGTTGAATGGGTTGCCTACACTAGGCGCGACACACACTCTTACTCAAATTGGCAATTTTAACACGACTCGGAAACTAACTGCTGCAATATGTTTATTTCTTGTGCGAGCCAGCACACTTTTAATCTGACGTTAACTACTGGGCTATAAAATAACGAGGGTCACGAGGTTTTGGTCGACACCATAGAAATGTACTAGATTTAGAAATATATCAAGAGGTCTACCAATCAGTCTCTTAAACTACATGAACATTATTTTCACAATAGGAAAAGACGCTACAAAGGCCGCCTCAATGCCAGGACCCTGTATTAACTCCATTTATAGTTTCTTCAAAATGTCAGTTGGCGGAACATGTCAGTAAGTGGCGTCGTGTCGTTGCCCTGAACATTTTTAGTACACACGCTGTTTATGAAAAAAAAGCTTGACGGGAAGAAAATTGCTCACAAAACTGCCACTATGGCAGATAAGATTACCATTGTAAACTGGGTCAGACTGCACACCACCTACTGTCATCATACCGCTCTTTCAGCCCTCACACATCATGTATATTGTTTTACTATTCTCTCTAGGAATGATTAAAAACTACAATATAGTAATAAAAATAAATGCAAATTACATATCAAGAAGTTATGAAAATGCTAAATACATAATAGGTTTAAACTTGAAATAAATGAAACGCCAAAAAGATCCAAATCAGGCATCAGCGAAGTTGTCACTTCCCTCCCGACTGTTGGACGATCGTCTCTTGAGGGGCTCGCTCGGGGACTCCGTTTCGCTAGGGGCAATACTGTCAGGGTAGTTCCACTCCTGGATGTCAGCAGTCCCGAACACTTGGAACACGGTGTAGGTGACAATGGCCACTGCAGCCGACACGCCGAAAACCTTCCTCCACTGCTCCAATGATTGCTGCGGCAGGCACAGGCGACAAATAGGTTAAAATCAATTTCGCGTGTTCGGAAGGGTAAAATAGAGGATTATACTCACGCTTTCTTGGGTGATGAAACCCGCTACTAAGGGAGACAGGAAGCTTGCAGTCATGTGTATAGTTTGGGCAAATGCCAGGACGGGGCCTGGAACAAGAAACGCAGCGCGTGTACGATGGGATGCCTACACATCAGGCGGCAGACTTTCTCGGCCATCGGACAAGCTGTTCACCCACCAATAAAAATTTTGAAAATTAAGGATTAAATAAACTTGATTACCCCCCTACCTGCGAAGTTGGGGGCGATGTCGACGACGCTGGCCATGGCCCCGGCGTAGGAGGCGGTGACGAGGGTGACGGCCAGGAACCAGATGACGAGCACCAGCCCGATGTGGCAGCCCAGGTAGCCGATGGCGAGCACCAGGAAGCCAGGCACTACTTGGGCTGCGGCACCAACAGGTATAAATTGATACTCGATTTTTTTTTGTTTTTATTAACAGCATGGGTGGAGGTACTCACATATGGCGGTCATGAGCTTGCGCGTGTTGGTGAGGCTGAGGACGTTCCTCGTGACGAGTCTGTCGGCGATGTAGCAGAACACCACCGACGAGAGGTAGCTTAGTAAGAACGGGACGCCGCTCAGCAGGCCGTTCTGGAACAGGAGGAGGAGCCGTCAGGGGTGCTGCTGTAAACGGCAGTCAGGATGACGGGGACGGGGGCAGGCCCCGGGCAGCTCACCGCCTGAATGCTAAAGCCTAACACAGTCTTCATGTACATGGGGCCGGGGATGATGAACACGTAGTGGATCCAGATGCGGCCGAAGGTGGTGATGCCGATGGCCCAGGCCGGCGGTGACGTCATAATCTTCCTCCAGGGCACGCGCATACCCTGCCGAGAAAACACGAGAAAAACCGTGAAGCCAAGTCAAGCGGCCCGAGTTGTTCTCCCTGCGTACTGTACCTTGCCCTCGATGATGGTGTCGGCCACGTTGCTCTGGATGTAGCGCAGCTCGCTGGGCGTGATGCGCGGGTGCTGCCCCGGCGAGTCAAAGGCCAGCAGCCACCAGAAGACGCACCACAGCATGCCGAGGCTGCCCGTCACGTAGAACACGACGCGCCAGCCGAAGTGCGCGATGATGAAGCCGCACAGCGGGTACGTCAGCCCGATGCCGAAGCTGAAGCCTGTGCACAGTAGGCCAGAAGACCGGTTGGGGCGGTCAAAAATCGAGACGCGTTTTGAGCCCCAGAGTCGCTAAATGGGTCTCGAACCGAATGACCCACCGATGGATTGCTCTTCGAACGAGGAATCCATTGGTGGGGTCTCTGTTTCTAGATGGAGGCTCGACAGCCCCAAGGCTCACCTTGAAACGACGACATGAACCTGCTCCTCTCCGAGGCCGGGATCCACGGCCCCACCGCCGCGTACATGGCCGGCCACGTCAAGCCCTGCAACCGAGCAGCCCGTCAGCAAGGCGTTCCCTCTCCTCTCCGCGTGCTACCGCAGCTACCGCAGTGTCGGCGCCTACCGAGGCCACGCCCTGCACGGAGCGCAGCGCGATGAGCAGCGAGAAGTGCACCTCGGCGGCCACGGGGATGAGCAGGGAGCAGGAGGCCGTGGCGAGCTGCGACAGGCCGAACACCACCTTGGTGCCGAAGCGCTGCGTCAGCAGCCCGCCCATCACCTGGGACAGCACGTAGCACCAGTAGAACGACCCCAGGATGGCGGACTGCGTGCGCGCGTCCCAGTCGAACTCGCCCTCCTCGCCCTGAAACAGGAGCACAAGGTGAGCACGGCGATGTGGGCGACGCCGGGGTCTCGGCGGTGTTGGCGGTGTTGGCGGTGTTGGCGGCGTCCTCACCGGCGAGGGCGTGGCGGCGTCCGTCGTGTCCCGCTTGGCATAGCAGTACCGCGGCTCGGACGCGCCGCTGGCGGACGGGCCGACGGTGCCGTTGGCGTCCACGACGTCGAGGTCCTGCGGCGGCGTCCTCACCATGGCGACCATGGCGATGTTGATGTCCGTGCGCATCATGAAGGACACCAGGAAGCCGGTGAAGGACAGCATGTACAGCACGACCCGCGCCGGCACGCCATCTGCGTCGCCACGTTCACCACGTTAAAAAGTAATGAGACGAATCAAAGTTGAGAATCGATGCGCGGTCGTCGATACAAACCTTGGAGCCGCCGGAAGCACACCAGTGGCGTCTTGGTGGCGACGTCGTCCGGCAGCCTGCCGCAGAAACATCGACAATCATTGTCCGTTAGAAAGTGGCCCTTTATTGCGACACTGGCGGGTCTTCGATTCTCCGATCGACCACCGGCTCAATAGCGCCAGCTTCGCTTACCTCTGCCTGTCTTCGGAGATGGAAGCTCGGGCCATGCTGTTGCCGGGGCTGCCGGGGCTGCCGGGGCTCCGGGCCGGAGTGTCAGCAAGTGTTAGCCCGCACCGCGGCCGCCGCCTCGCCAAGCCCCAGTCCCGGGCCTGGGCTGCCTCCCAGACACGACCTCAGTCTCCCTCTCCGCCTCCGCCCCGGGGGTGGCGGATCATCTGGATAATTCAAGGACACAAGCAGCGTCGCGTCAGCGCATTGATCGCCAGTCGTTTATCACGAGACACTGAGACCATCTATCTTCTCCTACTTTCGAGAATCAAGAGCCCCATGTAGTATACAGCACACACGCACGCACACACACGCACCCAGTCAAAGGGCAGCCAGCGCGGCCTTTCGGGCGCCCCGCGATGAAAGCTTTAAAAGTCCAGCCGCCGGCCAAGCCCTTGGCGCGGGGCGGCGATCTGGAGGCGACTGCGGCCCGAATCGAATACACCCAATACGCCACGCTTGACCACCGCGCTGCCTGGCTGGGCGTCTGGAAGGGGTGGCTCCGTGGCGCCGCGCGGTGGCCGCACGGTGGCCGCTCGCCGCTCAGGGTGACCGTGACATGCGACGAACGGCAATGCGGGGCAAGCGCGACTGGCAGCGTGCCCGGCGATGCACCGCGCGCCCCTCGCACACACGCACACGCACATACACATACACATTAGCATGTCGGCCATTGTGCACACACGGTGTATCAGCAGGGCGGGGCTCGACGCGCAGCTTGACGTTCGCGATATGGCCGTGTGACGGCGCAGCACGGCGCAACTCGCGACAAGGGCGCGTCGTGCTCCAAACTCTCTGCGAGGGACGCGCAGCGAAGATAAATGGGGGAGTTCTATTTCCCCCCCCCCTCCTCTTCCCTCCCTCCTCTGCTTCTTGTCCTCTGTTTCTTGCTTTGCTTTTGTCGAGGCACCTTCGATGGCCCAGTCGATCCACGACGCCACATTAGCCGGTCGATGCGGTTGGCGGTGTTGTGGTGCACTCCATGCATTATTACCCTCGCCTTGGCCTTCCCTGGCCTGCCCCGGCCTGCCCCGGCCTGCCCTGGCCTGCTCGCCGAAGGCGGTCAAAGCGTCCCCAAAAGCGCCGGGGCGGCAATCTCACCTGTTCCCCTCCCCCGCTTCCCCTCTCTTCTTCGCGGTCCTTTGGCACTTCCGCCTCGCCGGCCGCTTTGTGCTGGTACACTGGTGGTACACTTTGTGCAACGCGAACGACGCGAACGCGAAACTCCGATCAGGCGCCCTCCATTTGCGTCATTCGAGGGGGAGGAGGAATGAGGAACTGCCGCCCGCTGGTGCACTTTACACTGCTCGGTCAGGACGTCAGGACGGTGCTCAGACTGGACTGCATGCCATGCCACCTTCCAAGTGAACGCGAGGCCCGGGCGGGTTCAACTCCCCGCCGGACGGAAGGGTCAGTAAATCGGTTTTCGACGCTTCTTTCTGTCAGCGCGTGGCTGCCACAAGCCGTTGTGCTGAAGTCTGAAGGGGCTTGGCGCGAGGCTGTACCAAGGACCACGGCTGTACCTACCGCGCTGTGTCAAGGCTATACCAAGGCTGTACCAAGGCTGCGGTCGCCACTCTCGTTACCTAACACGCCGCGGTAATCGTGGACTGAATTGCAAAGGGCAGACGGCATTGTCACTTTATTGGCGGCTTACAGCCGTTATCGCTCTGTCTCTCTCACTCCTGTACAGGATGCCCCATGAGTGCGAGAGAGACCGAGCGATGAAAGCGTCTGTCAGAATCTGCAGGACGGGCCTCGCCTAGTGGGCCTCGTGTGCCATGCCCACGCCTTGCTCTGTAACGACTCCCACCCGAGAGGACTCTCTGTCTCTCTTTCTCCCTGTGACTTTGGGGGCAGCAGGAGTACAAACGGTGGGGGTGGCAAGCCTGCTACGCTGCTCAAGGTCAAGAGTGAGGCTGCGTCCAGGCGCACTCGTTCACTCTCGCGTTCACTCCATGCTCTCGCCTCCACTCCCGCGGCTCGCTCAACTCTTGGATGGCGGCCCCGCGCCGGCCCGAAGATGTAGGGGTCGTCGGGGCCCCGCTGTCACAGCCCGGCTGTACGCATGTGTCCGCGTTCCAGCCGCCGCACCGCGCGGCGCGAAGCTGCGCCTACCCACTTACCCGGTGGAGGGAGTCAGGTCAGGTCCGCGGCGGCGGCGCCCGCACCCCGCTGGCGGTGGCATGGCGGCGTCGAGTCACCCCGCGGCACCGACGCCGGCGACCTGGACACCGACAGCGTCAACATGGCGACGGCATGGGAGGCGGCGGTGCCGACAGCCGGGGAGGACGACGGCGTCGTGTGGACGAGCTGACTCGCCCCGGTTTCGGTCCCCACTGAGGCCAAGGGCTCGGCAGGCCGGGCTTGGCAGCCCCACTGCCCCGCACTGCCCCGCACTGCCCCCGGCGCCGCTAGCGCCCTCTGTGCGCTGCGTGCGAAACGGACCCCGCCAGCCCCACGACCCACCCCACACGTGGACGGCGAGAGAGCGGCCGTCGCGGACGCGCCCCACAGCGCGGCGTGACGTCAGCAGCGGGTGGCGGAGTAGAGCGCACTCGCGGCGACGCGCCCCCCGCCGCCGTGAACCGCGGCACCCTGGCGAGGCGCCGACGGGGCGTGGGGGTGCCGGTTATGTCGACTGGACTGCGCCGTGCAGCACGGCCCTTGCCGAGGCCCTGGCGGCGCTGGAGGGCGCATGCGCAGACCGAGGCGGCGGGGCGGCGGGGGAGTCAAGGCTGAGGGGTGCGAAGCGCGAAGCAGGCAGTTAAGCCGCTCCTCCCCATGACGCCCCGGGCCGCCCGGGCCCAGCGCGGCCGGGGGATGAGGTGACGTCACCCGGCGGCCGGCCCCATGTTCCGTCTCGCCTCGCCTTCCGGGCGGGCGGCAGGGCACGGCAGGGTACGGCAGGGTACGGCGCCGCCGGAGTGGCATGCAAGCAAGCCAGCCAAGTATAGCGCTGTGCGTGTGGCCTTACAGTGCAGTGCAGCCCCGTTGCCAAAGCATTGCTAATGGCCGCAGAGGGCCTCATCACTGCTAACGTAGAGAACGCAGAGCTGGCGCGTTGCCCAGAGGAGTCCTGCTGCGCTGCAATGCCACCATGCGCTGTCCAGCTCCATGCACTCCCACTCTTCAGGACCCCACTCAGAATTTACCAGCCCCCCCCCCCTCCTACCCCAGGCCGCGTCCCACACACTGCCAGCGCGTTATTGAGGTGCTAGATCTTCCCTTCATGACGTCGTCCACGGCATTCCTGGACTCCGTTGCCCTCCTCCCTTAATAACCCCGCCTCCCTCCATTCGCCCCCGCCCGAAATTCCCTCTGCGGATTGCTGCACCGAGAAAAGAAACTCCGATTTCACAACGTGCCTCCTAAATTTTAGGTCCGTTCAACCAGAAGCCCCGGTTTGTCCAACTTGTCCGCGCTTCTGCCGTGCAGCAGACGTCACCCTGGAGTCTGCCGAGGTTGGGTCCCGCCGTGCCGAGTGGCGGGGGCGACAGAGCTGATAACAAGCCGACCGTCTCATGCGCGGCCCGTCGGCCGGGCGGACTGACGGACGGACAGGCGGGTGTTGGCGGACAATGCGGCCACCCTAAGACAGGACCGCAAGTCGGGGGTCGGGTCCTGGGCGCCTTCCCTCCGTCTCCGTCACGCACATGGACGCGTCGCGCAGGTCGGGGTGAGTGACAGCGACACCGATACACTTTCAGCGGCGGCACGCCGGCATGGCGATTTCTGATATCATCAACCGTAGATAAGCGCACCTTGCGACTTGCCGTGTCCGGCCGAACCTCGGGCCGAACCGAACCCCGGCCCCGGACGGCCCCACTCCCCGCTCCCCGCCGCCACCGCCAAGTGCCCGCCAAACCTTCTTCATTTCGGCCTCCGAGACAGATGCTGCCGACTCCCCCGGCCTGTGCGTTGCACCCGTAGGGACTGCAGGGACTCGCAGGGACAGCCAGGACGCCGCCATGGGGACAGGTAGGACGGGCCGCCGGGCCGAGCCTCGCCGCCGTGGCCGTGACCATGGCCGTGGCACGCGCCAGGAAGCCTCGCCACTACCGTGGAGTGTGTGACGTGCGTGAGCTCGTGTGAGATCACCGAATCCAAGTGACAGGTGGCCGGCATAGCTGCATGGCCGGCATGGCGCCGACGCGCGCGTCGTTCCGTCACCGAGACTGTTGCCGTCGTGGAGCACGTCGTGGAGCACGTCGTGGAACATACCCTGAGTGACATGAACACACTTTGCAGAGTGCCTGACGGCCCGCCGGGTCCTGTGGGTGCTGGTGTTCATGGGCTTCGCCGTCAACTACATGATCCGCATCAACATCAACATCGCCATCGTTGCCATGGTGGCATCCCCCAAGGACAAGACCGGCGGCGAGGTGCTGGTGGGCGAGTGCGCGATCCGGGAGGAGGCCCGACTGCGAGGCGGCCAGCTCGGCCAGCTCGGCACGGCGGGGTATTTCTCGCACTTCGCACTTTGGAGGAGCGGGGCGCTGCGGAGCGCCATCACGAGTCCGCGCTAAATTTTACGCTTCCGCCCTCAGTTTCTGGACCTCCAACGCCACCACCGCGCTGACTCAGTCCTGGAACGCTTCGACGCCGAGCCCAGCCGTCACACAGGTGAGCAGCCTTTCTCGTTAAAAACCGAAGTCAGAAGAAGGCTTCTGGGACGGTGCTTTGACGAAACTGCACGTTGGCAGGCCGGCCAGGACGGCTTCGACTGGGACGAGCGGCAGCAGGGGCTGGTGCTGGGGGCGTTCTTCTGGATGCACTGGCTCATGCAGGTGCCCGGCGGCGTCCTGGCGCGCCGCTACGGCACCAAGCTCGTCTTCGGCCTGGCCAACTTCATCCCCGTGCTGCTCACGCTGGCAGTGCCAGTGGTCGCCTACTGGGACTACCGCGCGCTGCTAGCCCTGCGATTCCTGCAGGGCCTCATCGCGGTGAGTGCACTCTAAAAGTTTCATGGCAAAGATTTTCCGTAATTACGGTGAAAATTCTCTACTCATGGTGGTGCAGCTGACTTTAATTTATGTCTGAAAATACCCTACCGTAGAGGTATTTTGTCGAATTTCTTCCGTATTATGGAGAAAATCTCCACCATAACATGTTAGTTCAGCTGAAAACTTTTTAGAGTGCGGCGAAAGCTTTCAACCTCGCAGCAAAAAGGAAAGGTCTACAAAAGTTACACTGTAAAATTACATTGTCTTAAAAATGTTTTTTAGGGTTTCGCGTGGCCGTCGATGCACAACATGACGGCGCAGTGGATCCCGCCAAACGAGAGGAGCAAATTCGTGACCGCGTATCTCGGTGAGACTTCCTTCCAAACTGTTTCTTCGCGCTCAGTGACAAGTTTCTGACAGTGCAGCCCAAAGCTACGCACGCGTCCAGTTGGACCGGGTTGCCGGCCCGCGTTGCGTTGCTAGCTGTCCCCCCTGCAGACTGATTCCGAGAGACGTCATGTCGTCACTGTGTACGGGACTCCACATGAGTCCGAGGGAGACAAGAGCAAAACGACTCTCGGAATCAGTGTGCCGGTGCGTCGCGTGGTGCGTCGCGTGCGCAGCGCGTGTGCACGTGGCCCTCGATTCCTGGGCGATTATCGCTCTCTGGATTAGCCGCTGTTTACAGCCCGGCCGACGCGACTCCCGAAGTCCCGTCGTCGCCCTAGTCCAGGGATTGGCGCTATGCGCTGCACGGCGCGGCGCCACGGTCGCACTTTCTTCGCCGCTTCGCCTCGTCATACCGGCAGCCCCGGCAGCCCCGGCAGCCCAGCCATTTTACGGCCTCTCCATCTATTTGAAAAGCCCGCGCCAAATGTCCACAGTCATGCAGGGGATCAGGCAGGCCAATCGCCAATCGCCAGGAGTGGCTGACGGCGTTGTCGTCGCACTGTCTCTCTCGCACTCACCGGGCGCGCCGCATGGGTGGGAGAGAGACAGCCTCGATATCAGTCTGCAGTGACAGACACATCGGCGGGAGGAATTATGATCTGCAACGGCGGGAAGCGAAAGAAGGATCTCTGGAGGCGTCTCGTGGGGCTCAGAGTCCCGAGAAGGAGTGGCGACTTATCTCAATTATCCGATATCAGTCAACTGCGTATCAGTTAACAATTGACTATCGCGATGTCGCGCACTTGAGCCGCGGAGTCAACCTTCGCAGAAGCACTTGAGGGGTAACTTTACGGCAATCAAAGGGTGTGCGATGCGATGCTTCCAGGGAGCTCCATCGGGGCGGCACTCACCTTCCCGCTGTGCGGCCAGCTCATCCACATGTGGGGCTGGGAGTCGGTGTTCTACGTGTGCGGCGCGCTGGGCGTCGTCTGGTACGTCTTCTGGGTGGTGCTCGTCTTCGACACGCCGGCGCAGCACCCGCGCATCTCGCCGCTCGAGCTCACCTACATCACCGACTCCCTCGGCAAGAGTGTCTCGCAGAAGAAGGCAAGTGCGGCGTCTCTGTCTCTCTCGCACGCATGGGGCGTCGCTGGGGCGTCGCGTGTGCCTGTGAGAGAGGCGGGCTGACGGGACCTCCCTCTCGAAATCCACGTTGTCCGCCGCCTGACCCTCAGGCAGTGGGCCTCGCCTCGGCTCGGCAGGCGGCAGGCGGCAGGCGGCGTGGCGGCGGCAGTAAAGGCGGCAGGGGCGGGGTAGGCCGTCACGCCGACACGCGTGCCCGGCGTTGCAACGCGTTGCCTACCCGAGCTTCGCAGGCGCTCGGCGCTCCACGCGCTCCACGCCACTCCATGCTCGGACGCCGCACCGCCGCACCGTTCGGCTGACGGCGCCTCTCTACTCGCTCGTTGCAGATGGCGACGCCCTGGAGGGCCATCCTCACGTCCCGGGCCGTGTGGATGAACATCGTGGCGCAGTGGGGCGGCGTCTTTGGCCTCTTCACCGCCATGACGCAGGCGCCCACCTACTTCCGCTACATCCACGGCTGGAACATCCGGATGGTGCGTGGCGCTCCGTGTGCAGCCTAACCTGACCTTCAAGTCTCTAACTCGAGTGCCTCTTTTGCCTTGCAGACGGGCGTGCTGTCCGGGCTGCCCCACCTCGTCCGCATGCTGTTCGCCTGGCTCTTCTCCGAGCTGGGTGACTTCCTGCTGCGCAGGGGCCTCATGTCACGGACCAACGTGCGCAAGCTGGCCACTTTCTTCTGTAAGCAGCTGCAAGCGGACGGCGCGCGGGTTCGAATCCCAGCCCGTCTCATGGCCGAGCCAAACGCTGTTTAGCATTGAAAAACGGGTTTTCTGTCCAGGTGACGTGGTGCAGGGCCTGCTCATCCTGTTCCTCACTTTCACGGGCTGCAACTCGGTGGCGGCCATCATCTGCCTGACGGCGGCCACGGCGGCGCACGGCTCCGTGTCCACGGGGCCCCTCGCCAGCATGGTGGACATCAGCCCCAACTTCGCGAGTACGCCATTTTTCATTTACCATTCGCAGCTTCTATGTACCCTCCGCTGTTTTGAGCCTCTGACTGTACACCGCAACGGTTTCCCCCCGCAGGCATCATCCTCGGAATCAGCGGGATGATATCCGTGCTGCCGGGCTTCATATCGCCCATCATAGTCGGACAGCTGACATTCCAAAACGTAAGCTGAACAAACAGGGGTTCTGCAGGAGACATGACATGCTGCTGCCTGGGGCGCCGAAGTGGCTCCCCCGTCAGGGGGTGGAAAGGGGGGGGGGGCTGACCTTCCCAGCTCATGCAGACAGTCCTGACGGCCGCCCACTCTCTGTGCAGCAAACGGTGGAGCAGTGGCAAAAGGTGTTCGGCATCACGGCGGCGCAGGTGATCGTGTGCGGCGTGGCCTACACGCTGTTCGCCCAGTCCGAGCTGCAGCCCTGGAACTCCCCGGAGGCCGACGACGACGCCAAGCGGCCCTCGGTGCCCGTCATCCTGGTGACGGGTTCGGAGCACGAGCTGCAGCCCCTCAACCAAAAGAAAGACAAAGACAAAGAGATTTCAAGACTGTGAGCGGAGCGGGACCTTCCTACTGGCGGTGCTGCCCGTTCCAACTTCCTACCCGGCGTGTTACGCCCCCACCACCACGCCCCCGTTATTGCAAAGGCGGGGTTCGCCCTGCAGCCTGTTTGGGCAGGTCGTTTTCGTCGCTCTACCTCTCTTACACCTATGCGGGACGCCCCATGAGGGCGAGAGAGACAGAGGGACGAAAGCGACTCTCGGAATCCTTCTGCAGGATCGACTTCCTGCCAGCCATCGCGGCAACAACTTCCACGACGAAACGCACACTGTATCGACGGTCCGGTCACGTCGTCACCATTCCAAAACAGTGGCTGTTAAGATCTGACTCACGCAAATTAAATAAAGTACGTTGATGACGTGTTGTGAATGTGTTATATTTTTAATCTGTTAATAAAAATCTGTAAAAAATAAAAAGTTGTTCAGTCAGTTTTACGACAACCTTTATATCTTCCCGCCCTTCCAACCCCACCGGGCTACACACCCAATCCTTGAATAATAGCTATAAAATAGTTGTCATTTGAGCAATTTAAATTTATTAAACCTTATTCGTATTCTTTTATAAAAAAAAAAAAAACTAGCGAAAGCACACGGAAGGGAGGTTTTCCTTTTTGTTTCGTAGTGTTGGTGTTTCTTAGTGTGCAGCCCGAGGAGGGGAGGGGGAGAAGGAGCGCGGTTCCAGACAAACACAAGCAAACGCCAAGTGTTGCGGTAAAGGATGGTTTAATGTTTCGGATGTGTTTTGGACTCTGTCAATCATGGTAGTGTGCAGATTCTTTCAGCAGGGAACCTGTAGATACGGCCAGAACTGCAGATTTGAGCATTCTTCACCTCAGTATGCAGGTATGTTGCCAAAAAATATAGGAACATAACCTAACATTTAAGGTTAAACATTTATTTATTCATGGTATTATATTTGAAACTCCTTGTCAAACCTTTAATCACTGCAGCACATTCGAAATTCATGTTTATTCTAGTGCATTTCACTATTCACTTTATGTGATGTACAGTTATTTGTTTGTTGTATAGTGTACTCAAATTTCATTGGTTACCATTAGTTTCATTTTTAATTCCCAGATTTGTGTTGTTTCTAGGTTCAACTGTGAGTCCTCTACTCCGGCAAAATGTTCAAACAACCTCTAGTGTGCCTCCACCTAGAAATACTCAGTCTAACAACCCATTCCGTGGTAACGTCAAGAAGGATGCGAATGATATCTTGTAAGTGAGGAAATTGTTAATCATACATTTGCTACTGTGACTGTTCTTATATTCAGAAAGTAATTAGCCTGTTAACAATTTAACAGCTATTGGAATTTTCATTCTGTTATGTAACTCATCGTGAAATTTTATTTCTACAGCAACTTAATGGTACAAGACATAAATGAAGCAGAGAAAGGTGGTGTTTGGCCTTTGTCTTGTTACAACTTTTGGCCCGCTATATCATCAGGAAATGTACCAGGTCTTGAAGATATCTCCCCAGATGAAATGAGACACATGCAACTTCAAGCCCAAGCAGGTGGCAACATAGAAGCATGTGTAAGTTGTTCGATTTTGCTACTGGAAGAAATAATATGTTAATAATTGTGTTAATTGTGTTGTTAATAGTTGTCATAGTTACTTTTGTTTCATACACGTTTTTCCCCTCTTTCCTTTCACAGTTCCAACAAATTCAGCAATTGTATCAACAAGCAAGGGCAAGATTTAATAGTTTAAAGGTCCGCTCTGCAGAGACACTGTCCATTATAGTAAGTAGATTTTTTGTTTTACACAAAATTGTAGCTGAGAGAAATGAGTTAATATTGTTATTTCTGATTTTCCTCCCTTTCTCTTTTTTAGGAAACTTTGACACAGGGTCCTCCATCAACATCTTCTCAATTTTCTTTTGCATCAGGGAGCAGTGTTGTACAGGATTCATGGCCTGCGTCTCCAGCATCTCAATCCTCTATATTCGGAGGTGCTTCATCCACAATTTCAAACGAAGCTCAAAAATCAATCTTTGGCGGTTCTTCAGGATTTGCGCCAAGCCAAGGATCAGTCTTCGGTTCAAATCAAGGCTCTTTGTTTGGCTCAGCAAATTCACAGCCGTCTGTGTTTGGTGGTGCATCACCTCAAAAGTCAGTGTTTGGTGGCTCAGCTCAGCAACCTACAAACACATCGCCGTTTGGCACAGTAACTCAACAAACCTCGATATTTGGCAATAGTGCTACAGTTCAACAAAGTTTACCATTTGGTAGTCCTTCAGGTCAGCAAGCCTCACCTTTTGTCAATACACCTGCATCACAACAGGCATCTCCATTTGGTGCACCTGCATCTGTTGGCCAGAGTGGGGGTAGTATTTTTGGTGGTACCTCTGCATCAACAGCAGCCCAACCGAGTTCATTTAGTTTCGCCCTTCCTAATGCACTTGAAGCTAGTTCTAATGCAACTCAAATAGCCTCCTCGTCGCCCTTTGGTGCTCCAGCCTTAACAGGAAACAGTTCCGGCAGTATATTTGGAGGATCTACAGTCTCAAATATGGCTCAACCAACTGGAAGTACATTTGGTGGTTTTGGTCCTCAATCCCAGAGTGCTGTTCGGGCCACTCCAGGAAGTAACGTTGTTTTGAACTCCACTATTTACACTTCAATCACTCAACTCACAGAGGATGAAAGGAGAGAATTTGAAGCAGAAACATTCACAGTGGGGAAAATCCCCTCTAAACCCCCTCCTAGAGAACTGTGTTAGAAAGATGTCCATACTTTTTCTCCTTCACAATTTCTCAGTGCAGACAATATTTCAGTTGTAGTAAGAGCAACAATGGCTGTGGTATTATTTTGTCTCGTGTGATTACAGCCACTTACTAACCAAAATATGTTTCTTGGTTTTGATCCTGATTTTGGCAGAAGGCCTTCATGACTTACTTTTAATCATCTTTTGTGTTTGTTTTATTTGATGTTTGCAATGCATTTTATGTTTCTTTTTCTTTTTAATGTGTAGTTCTGAGTGTTATCATCTTTATTTTAAATCCAACTCAGATCTAGATAGAAAAATAAGGATACCTGTTGTTAGTTGTAAAATTATTTTATCCCTTAAGAGTAAAACCCTGGGGGAAAAAAATGTGATATTGGGATTCTGGCTGTCAGCACAGCTTTTAGTTGATAAAATACACAGATAAATGTGCATCTGAGAAATCCTATGGGTTTAAGTCAGAATGTATCCGTGATTGCTAGAACTCTACTTTAGTTAGCTTCGCATGACTCTGCATTGAAATTTTAATTTGAGCTGCATTGGTGTTTGCTAATGATCAAGAAAGTATGCACTGAAAATACTGGATTCATAACAAAGACATTGACATTTGCAGGCAAAACCCAAAATGAACAATGTGTCTTTTAATGTTAAACATTAATAAAATAAAGGAAAGCTCATAAATACCATTTGACTTCACTCTTTATGTATGCACCCAGAAGTGACAGATGTAACTCAAGCTTGGGTGTTCTAAGTTTCTTACAAGCGCGCTGTCACGTGTCGAATGGGCGGTCTACCTTCACGGCGCCACTAGCGAACAAGTAGGGCCAGAGTCTGCTACACAATAACGTTTAAATGTAGGCAACCCACACGGCTGAGAGCCCCTTGACCCCCCCTGCAATTGGAACTCGTCAACGCCCCTGGTTTGATAAATTTCTAAGGCTTAAAAATTGACCTTCCCACCCAAGCCCCAAATTGAGCCATGCCCTTCTATTTTGTGTGGCAACGCATGTTGTGTAGTCGCCGGGTCGAGAGAGAGGCCACCCAATTTGACAAATAAATCATGTAGATTGCAGGTCACAAACCCAAGACTTGATTTCAGATAGCCTCAAAAGGTGACAGCAAAATACACGAATGGAGTATGTGTGAGATGAAATGCTTCGGTTTGACAGGGAGCAAAAACAATGCCCCTGAGAAATTTTTTAAAATCCAGAAAAATAAATTAATTAACATGTTTATTATCAACAATTCAAGTTAACATAAAAACTTTGCATAAAAAAGAAATATATAAATCCTTAAAACGACACTGAATTTCACTAACATCAATTGCTAGAGTATTCTATGAAATCAATTGAATAAGTTGAAGGACTAGACATGTGACATTGGCATTGCAAAGCAAATGTAGCTTCTAGGAATGTCAGGACTCAACTAAAACTGTAAAGATAACAAAATAATGTTTCATATAAAACTCCAGCTAAGGCATCTTAGATACATTGGTAGTAGGCAAGGGGCTAGACAAACTATTACAAGATTTTGAAAAAGTTTCATTTGACTTCTAAAACAGAGAAAAGGGGCGATTCTTGCACTGGAATGACAAGGTATACTGTAAATGCAGCTCTGTTCTTGTTGTACGAGTTAGTTTCAATTTATTTTCTTGGTAGATTTACCTGCAAAAACAGATCATATATTTATTTCATGCAACAACCAACTCTCCCTTCCCCCCCCCCCCAAAAAAAAAAAAAAAAAAAAGGCAACTGCATTTGTAAAAAATTACCATTTGAATTTTTCACACTATTCTTTGGTGATAGTTTGGAGTAGTTATGTCCTGAAAAACAAAAAAGAAAACATATTTTAGCACTCTTTTAACACTCTTGGCATAGAGAAGCTATCTACAACCCACACCACTAGCACACCTCCCGCTCTTTATTTCATGATTAGGGTAATAATGTAGATGTGTATACATCAGTATACAACTGAACACTTGAAATTTTATTATGAAGTTTGAGTTGTTAATGGGGACTCTAAATGTGAGCCCTGTCAATGGTTAATCAATGAACTGGGACAGTGATAAGATGTGCACCCAGTTTAAAAATCGTGTCATTTTCTTTCAAGCACAGACCTTTACTAAAATGCTGCTTGAGCATCATGCAAACTTTAAGAATGGGCAGATAGAACTTACACATCTCATGGATTGACATTCATAAGCAACTGAAAAGGTGGACAAAAGGGGAGAGAGGGGGTAGGGAGGGGCATGGTTTAGATAAGACAGTGAGCTACAGTGGGCTGTGCAGGCCTGAAACTGCAATATAAAAGAATAAACTGAGGGGAAAGGAATTTATTTGCTTTGCTGTAAAAGATTCACAGAGAATGTTAGTAGTCTTATCAAATAAAATTACCAATATCAGGTTTTATATGAAGGGTTTGTATACACAAATCCAATTTGAGGTGCTTAGCAAGCATCTACACTACAGAAAAGGAGAGTAATAAGGGAAGACACATACGCACAGAATAAAGGGGAAAGGGGTAGAAAAGAACATCTCCACTAACATGTACAGGTACAATATCTAACTAAAACCTACAGAAGCCAAAACAGACCACAGAAAAACTCCCAACATCTCTTGAGAAATTTCATAGAACATCAGACTTGCAGGGCCAAACAAACCGGCAAAAGGGAAATTATAAATCAAAGCACTTTGCCCTTTGCCTTATGAGAAGTAGGAAATCAAGAAAATTGCTGTAGCAGTGCTCATTCACTGGTGGATTGTATGAACAAAGATGATGGATAGTGGAACATACAACACAAGAAATTGTTTCGTTGACTTGATAAATCTAGCATGAGGTGAGAAACTCACCCTTCGTTGCTTGCCTCAATGCATTAATTTTTAAAAATGGTAACTTAATTGCAACATACAAACTGTCCAGTATTAATTTTTGGACATCTAATCAATAAATCATAGAACAGGTAGTGTGAACTGGTCTTTCAGGCCACTTCCAATTCGACCAGATGAACCACTTGACAGAACCAACAAGCAAAATTTAGTCCAGTCACAATCAAAACTTTTATCACAGCGCAGCACTGCCTTGACTCATAGGTAACATAGCTATGGCACTATCTACCATTATCATAGTTGCATGAGTGTTGACATGCTCCTGACATTTGACTAATTTCACCACAAGAAATAATTAAACCTTGGCAAACCTATAACCAAGGAAAAGGAAGCAAACCAAAATATAATGTGGCTTAGCATCAAAGTTCAGTGAAGGGACATGTTTATAAGTACCAAAATTCAACAGAGTAAGTACTTTCTTGTGTGAGAAGCAGCAGAAAATAGGAAAGACCCAAAGTACTGGATTCACTAAATACAATGGTGTTCCAAATAAAAAAACAAAACAAAGGACACCTATTTAGAGATTTAAAGATTCTTGTAGCCAACATGCATAATTAATTTCCAATATGTTAAATAATATCCTACCTATGTATGAACTCGGAATCAAATATTCCGTACACAAAGTACATAAATACATACACAAAATCATAAACTGGCCAACAAATAGGCTGATCACAGAGCTACTTACTAACAAAAAATCTTTTTACACCATGATGCTGGGTCTAATGAAAAGCATACTGATAAAAACAGTTTGAAGACACACAAAAGACAAATGGAGTCTAGAAAATAAAATAAAACAAATCAAAAACCAATGATCTAAATGAATCCAAAATTACAATCATTCAAAAATGAGAGAATAGAACAAGTCTACAGATATGTACAAAAGTGAGACAAAAAATACCATGCACTAAGGTGATGAGATGTGGTTCTTACTTAAGAAACAAAAACAAAAATGAACTTTGACCAATCAAACAATGAATTTCAACACAAGTTTCTAACTAACCATGAACTACAACATAAAAATGACACTACAAATGACAATGTTGTCATGCAATCTTATAATCACAGTAAATAGGCCACAAGGAAATTTGAACATAGCCTGGAGCTCAGCCAACATGAACCACTACTACAAAGTTCTACTGTGACTTTGCTACAAAACATTTAAAAAAAAAAACAGGAAAAAAAAAGGTTGAGGCCAAAGTTGACTACAAAGTATTTATAGTACGACTAATTGATGTGATGACTTGTAAGAGTATTTGACCCATCAGGAGGAGGTATACTTTAAGATATGGCTTAAATCCTTGTCAGTCTTCATTTATCATACGCTAACCAACGTGCGCACAAATTAATAGTGCCATTGCAATAGCATTTTTTCAGAGTTGCCTTGTGAAAATTTACACAGAACCATCCTTAATATCAACTTCTGTCATAGGCAGAGTTTCGTCAGGATTCGGAATTTCTGCCTTATCCTTTTCTGGACGCAGCAACTCACCCCATCGCTTGTTGTTGATGAAATCGCCAACAAGATAAAGTATGAGACAGAAAGCCAGCATGGCAAGGAGGAAGAAAATTCGAGACGGCCAGTCCATCACATTCATGACAGGGTAAACCCAGAGGTTGGTATTATAATAAATCACAAATGTCCTGGAAAATAAAAAACAACAAATGAACCATTAGGGAAATGACTTAATTTAACGTCTTATTCTGTGGCTTGTCATCTAAAATGTACTTACCATGATAGATAAGTGGCCATAAAGATTGTAAGTCCTGCAAGTCCCTTCTTTTTGGTGGGGTATTTACGGCATGACAAGAACATCTCCAGGAGAATGAAGATGACAATATTCGTATGCATAATGTGATTCAACCAGAAAGGGAAGTATGCATCAAGTTTCTTTGGTAAAACTAACTCTCTATCAATTGCCATAATGGACCAGAATGTAACACCAACAAACTGTAATAAGAAAATTTTAAAGATAAAACCAGAATTAAAATACAGCCAAACAACTTAAGTATTACAGATAAATTCAAAACCATATATACATACCATAGCAATTGGGAAGGCAAACGCTGCGAACATGTAGTCCTTAATCCTCCTGATAAGTGGCGGGTTTGGTGGATTTGGTGAGTGATCCCCCGCAGCATCATTTATGAGGCAAACTGTGAAGTACACAGCTTGAAGAATCTAGAACAGAAAATGGAACAATGTGTTATTCGAAACCAGATGGTCTTTCTGTTCAGAATGCACCGTAGACTGCTGCCAAGATTCTGCCAAGATTCTTTTGTTTGTTCTGGGCAAACAGTAAGCTGCATAGACAGTTGCCGAAGATGCCATGCCGTAGCGCGTGAAACCAATCGGCACCGGCACAAAATGCTCTCTATCATGACTACCGGACTTGTCCAGCACTGACAGTCAGGCGAAAACACAAGTAAACAAACCATTGTCTCTGTCTCAAGGCAACGAGACATTCGAAACAGTGTAACGGGTCAGAGCTCACCCGTACCCAAATTGCCGGCACCACGCCGAACCGCACGGCACACTCCTCACCGCACTCCTCATTCATTCCCATTCACTCATTCATTCATTCCCATTCATTCGCCAGACCGCAGGGCAGGGCCCTCACGGTAATGATAGGTTAGGGCCAGTTTCAGTACGCACCGCGTCCCAAAAGGTGAGGTAGACAAGCTTGCCCCCGAAGCCGCTGCCCATCTCCTGCACCTCGCGCGGGATTTTGACTCTGGTCCAGTCATAAAAGACGGCGAACGTGAACTGCACGGCGCCGACCAAGTGGATGATGGCGCAGACGAGGGTCATCACGGAGCGCGACCGCGAAGGCGAGGGCGCCATGGTGGCGGAAGGGTCCTGGCCCTGGCTGGGGTCGGGTCGGGTCCTGCGGCGCGGCGGGGGCGGGGCGGCCAGCTGGGCGGAAGTAGGGCGGAAGGATCAGCGCGGACAGCGGGGCTCCGGTGCAGTCCGGTGGCGCGCAGGCTGGGCAGGGCTCAGGATGTCGACGACGCGGACGCGGCACGCGACGCGACTCGCCGCCTCGCTCAAACCTCTCGGACCCGGACCGCTCCGCTTGGCTCCGCTGTGCACTCCACTCGCAGTCGACTCGACTCGACGCCAAAACAAACTGCCGCCGCCCGCCGCTGGCTGGCTGGCGGGGAGCGGGGACGACGGCGACGGCAAGGCGGACGGGGAGGCCTTGGGCCTTGCTCTGGCTGCCCGAGCGGCCGGAGGGGCGGGGCGGGGTGTGACGGCGCGTCGTGCGGGGCGTCGGGCGTCGTCTGCTCGCAGGGCGACGGCGTCGGCGACGCGACGGTGACACTGGACGTGACCTGGACGACGACGACGACGACGACGTTCGCCTACCACCGCTGCTGCTGTCACTGACACGCGAGTCGCAAACGCCAAGCACGAAGCCAGCCACAGTCAGCCACTCAGCCGGTGCGGTCTAGTTCTTGTTGGAGACCAATCCGTCCTGCCGTCCTGTCCTGCGAACGGTCGTCCGCAAACGCGACGCCCTCGGCCCCTTCCACCGCGGGGCGCGGGGCCCGGCCGGGATTGGGGCTGGGACCCCCGACCCCGACGTCGACGTCCCCTCCTCTGAGTCACACCGTCCTTTTCCACCGCACCTGCATCCGAAGCGGCGCGCGAGCGAGCACATTGCGCGGACTGCAACAGATTCTGCCTGCAGAGTCGCGGGGACATCGCTGTCGCTGCTGCAGCCCGCGTCCGGCAGGGAGAGGCTCACCATGACCCTGGCCCACATCTGGACATTCTTTTCAAGCAGGGCACAGGGCACACCCGCGGGCCGGCCAGGCCCACGGCTCCCTAGAGAGCTGCTGCCGCTGCGGCCGGCGTCAACGCCTCGGGGACGGGCGTCGCGACGCACCCAAGGATTGCCCCCCCCCCCTTCCCCCTCGTGCGAGCTGCCAAAACGGCATAGCGGCGCATCGTCCCGACGCACCGGGAGGGGCGCGGCGCGCGGCGGCCGGCGGGGCGTCGGCCAGGGCCGGGGTCCTCGACCGGGACGTGGCGAAGTGGCGGGGCCGGCGGGGGATTGTCAGTCAATCCACTACTTGTCCCGCGGGCTGTGCGCTACACCTCGTATCGCCTCGCGTACACACCGCACTAACGCATTCACCGTGATTGGGTGCCGCCGGGTCAACTAGATGCAGCGCGGCCAGCCCATTAGGCCGCCCATTCACTGAAAGGGCCGGCCGTGCGGCCAGTTGGGAGGCGGGGACGAACGCGAACAGTCATTCGATTCTACTAAGCAAGGGACGATGCAAAAAGGCGGGCGTGTTTAGGGAGACTTGGAGGCAGAAGTTCGAGCCGATCGGACGGGATGGCCGGGGAAGGCCAACGGCACAGCTCCGCGCCCACCGGCGGTGACTAGACTTGCTTAAGAAACAGTTGATGCGTTTTCGCGATCACTCTCCCCTACCTTGGCATCTTCCGTACTGTCACCCTGCCCGACCGGCCCCTCACCAACTGCACCCGAATCCGCCACCCACGCGATGCCACGCGATGCAGAGGTCGCCCTCGGCGTCCAAGGGACCGAGCGCGGTGACGCGGCGTTGCGAAAGTCGCCGCCCGTCCGATTCCCACTCGGAAATAACGCAATCGTGAGAAAGTCCACAAAACGCGCGCGACCGCGACTCCGACATAGGGTTTCTAAGTGTTGTCCTCGGACCCACAGCTCGAGGACACACTAGTGCCGGATCATCCTGACTACAATCGCCGCTGGGGCCGTGCAAGGGACCGGCAAAGAAAAAGTGACCAAAAGAAACCAGCTGGTACACGGCGCCAGAGTACAGTACAGTCCAGTGAAAAAGGCTGGCTGGGCGAGATTGGCAGCCGTAAGGCGAAGGCCGCGAAGGCCGCGGCGGTCGTCTGCCGGCGGGGTAGAGGGTTCGCACATGACTTCGCGCTTCGCACCTAGAGAAATGTTGGGCAGCTTCACGGACAGCTTCAGCTTCTATTCAGCTTCGCACAGCGCGGCCGCCTTTATTCCTAGCACTTGGCACCGACGTCGAAGTGTACAGAGCACAGTGCGGCGGCTGCGGTCCGACGAACGAAAGCGAACTAAAGCCCATTCCCAACAACTTGCGGCGATCGCCGGCGCTGATTACCGCCCGAAAAACGACCAAGCAGAATGAAAGGAAACAACGAGTTTTTAATTTGGACCGAAGGGCCGCGGAGCGCTGCGGTCAAGGTCAGCCGCCTTAGCAAAACAATGAAGGCGACATTACCCAAGCCGTTGCATGTGTACGATACGTGCCCACTTTGGTTATCTTTGTTCACTTTGCTGGCCGCACTGCACTGGTAAAACAAAGGCATAAAAATTACGCCCTTAAGGGCATAAATACTCTTTTACGCCCTTCGAGGGGCATAAATCGTTTTATGCCCTTGGGAAGGGCGTAAATGGTATAGGAATTTCAAGCAAAATTTTAATGCCCTTCCCAAAGGCATTAACGATTTATGCCCCTTAAGGGCGTAAATCGTTTACGCCCTTAAAGGGCATAATTTTTATGCCTTTGTTTCACCAGTGTGCACGCGAGTACGCGGAGGCGCGCAAATCGGCCTGGTAACGGCCGCAGCCCGAACCAAACGGAACTCGTCAGGCTAAGGACGTAACGACGTTAACGATGTGCCGCGACGTGCTCACCGCAAAGTGACTCGGCGCACAGTGGGTTTGCCAGAAGACCGGCGCCGGCGGCAAAACTCTGGGCGCGTTTTGAGCTCCAGATGGGACTCGAGCCGAACGTGTGAGCCCACCAATGGATTCCTCGTCCGGAGAGCAATCCGTTGGTGGGGTCACACGTTCGGTTCGAGTCCCATTTAGCGGAGCTCATAACGCGTTCAGGATTTTGACTGCCTGCACTGGTCTTCTAGCTCACTGTGGACCGGCGGTATGGGATAACGTTCGGCGTCTATCTGAGGCATGGAATAGCGCTCGGCATCTGTCTGGCTCGGTGTTTGCCGGCGTTTGCTAATTATTGAGAAAACCGGTGCTGGCGATATTCTCGTAGAGACTGCCAGCTTATCAGCCTCGGGTCATATATTTTCTGCAGCGGGAAAGGCAATAATTCGTTAGCCACCGCGGCGTTGGCCTGCCTGTGCCAGATTCCAACTGTATCGCCATCAACAGCGGCGTTTCGCTCAACTTTTTCGCGAACGACACATGCGGCCTCGGCTATCAACTTATCAACCCAAAATGCGGAACGGCGCGAGGTTCGCCCGTGTGTGCGAACGCATGCGGGAGTCATCCTCTTGTCGCAGTGTTTCCCGGGCCGCACAGCGACACTTTGGGCGACATCACGCACGCGCACACACACACACACACACACACACGCGCGCGCACGAAGTGCTCATGTCAAGGCGATGACGTCATGCCGTCAGATTATACGACTTGTACTCGCGGCTGGCCTACGCATGTGAGACGCGTGTGTTTAGACTTGGCCGCTAAAGCAGTCCTCCAAGCTCCCGAAGCACCCTCGAGGCTTCCGAAGAGACTCCGAGCAAGCACAAATACCACTCGTCGATGATGATGCCGCCGAACGCCGTACTCAGCATCATCGGCCGGTTCGCAACGTACAAAGTTGATAGGTGACGTCGGGCGGGCCGGGCCGGCCTTTCGCTTTACCGTCCGGTCCCCCGACACCCGAGCCGCCGCCCTGAAGCCCTGAAGCATACTGCAGGCTGCGGTGCATTGCTGCAGCTTGTTGCTGTCCTCGAAAAGGCGTCCAACCGCCCCGCCGCCGGGACTGGGCGCAAACTCGGCCAGCGGACAGCACCGCGACAGCACGGCGGCATTGGAGAGGTCAGCCAAGGCCCACCTGCCCCCTCCTGCCTCTGGGCGGGGACGGCGTCATACACCGCCTTGGGCGCGACCAAGACGACGTGGCCGACGGGCAGGTTTGGCGTCCAGCCGACCGCACGCCAACTCCGTCGCTCCGCCGCCAGGACCGTGCGTGCGTCTGCTCGCGCCTCGCGCCACGAACAGTCCAGAACCAGAGCCTCTGCCTCCAGCGCCCTCTCAGCCAAACGATGACCGATTGAATGAATGTTATGGTAATTATTGACATTCCGCGGGGAGAGGGGGCAATTCCTCTTGATCAACCGAATCGGCCCGGCTGCGTCCACCGCGCCGCGCTCCATCGTAAGATTCGAGAAGAGTCGCCAAGGAGCGCCGAAAACAAAGCCTATTTCCCAGCCAAGCCACAGAGCCGGGCGTCGGAGAGGTCTGTTCGGGTCTGTTCCGCTTGGCGCGCTCGGCCGCTCGACCCTTCTTGTCGGCGTCCTCGGAGCGGCCGACACTGGCGGCGCTGCCCTGCAGCCCAGCCGGCCCTGGGGGCCCTGGCCAGGCCCTGGCTTATCGCCGCCGCGAACGGACTTTACTCGGAAGGGGCAGCCACTTGGAGTGTAGGGGCACGAGGCGCGACAGACAACAAGTGCGCGGAAGTCGGCGGCACGACCGCAGATTAGTTTTTGCAGTGTGAAGGCGCCAGCGTGCCAGTGCACAGCATGGCGTGGCAACGCGCCCGCACTCTTCCCCTTCCTCTCCCCCGCACTAACGTGAAGTCCAGACTCGGCACTGGTCGAGCACATACACAACACCTTTGATGAGCGCTCCCCCCCCCCCACACACACACACACACGCAGGACGTCACGCATCCCTTGGCAGCGGAAGAGCCGCGGATGGCGACGGAATGGTTGATGGCAGGCCGAGGATGGGACGGAGTGCTGGGCCCTGGGCGTGCTGGCTTGGCAGCAGATTTTGTCTGGGAAATGTGGCAGCGTTGATCCGACGCGTTCCGACGGTCGGAACGCGTCTTCGACAACGTGTTCGCCACCACCAGTCCCCACGTCATGCTCACAAAAACGAGGCTCAAAAACAACAAGACGAACGACAC